AAAAAACAGCGAGAAATCACTTCATATCTGGTAGAATATCTATTATAAAAAAGGCAAATGGTAAGTGTTGGTGAAGATGTAAAGACAAGGGCACTGTGCTGGGCAGATTTTGTCAGTTTGACACAAGTAGAGACACCTGGGAAGAGGCAATAATCAACTGGGGAATTGCTAGAAAGAGGGAGTCTCGACTGAGAAATTACCTCCATCAGATTGGCCTGTAGGCATGTCTATGGGAGCATTTTCTTGATTTACTTATTGACAGAGGAGAGCCTAGCAGTGCCATGTCTGAGCAAGTATTCCTGGGGAACATAAGAAAGACAGCTGGATGAGCCTGAGGGAAAGCAGGCCAGTTAGCAGTGTCCCTTCATGGTCTTGGCTTCGGCTCCAGCTTCTAGGTTCCTGCCATGACTTCCATCAATGATGGATCATGATATGAAAGTGTAAGCCAAATGAACCCTTTCCTTCCCTGGATTCATTTGGTTAATGTGTTATCACAGCAACATAAAAGTATACAAGCTAGTGGGAATGTAAGTTATAGCTGTCATGCAGAAAAAGTATGAAGGTTTTTCAAACAATAAGTAAAACTATTATATGGTCTAGCAATTCCAAGGGAATGGAAATCAATATATCAAAAGACAGCTACACAGCCATGCTTATTATTGTACTATTCATGATCGCCAAGATATGACGGCAGAAGTCTCTGCCAATGGATGAATTGGATAAGGGAAAGGTATACACTCACAGCTAAAGATTATTTTAGCCTTAAAGGAGGAAATCCTATAATGTGACAACATGAAGGAAATAAATAGACATTTTGCTACAAGAAATAAGTCAGGCTCAGGACAAACGTATGATCTCACATATCTGTAGAATATGAGAATAGATGTTTCAAAGTATATAATAGGTTGTTGTTTGTCAGAGAATGAGACAGTAGGGACAGAGGGATTTCTAAAAAGGGTACAATATTGCTTGGTGTTGGGTTGTAGGTGCCACAGTAGAGAGAGAAGTTCACCAAGATGCTAAGCCCCCATTTTCTGAAGGAGCAGAGGGGTTCCGGCTTCTTGGAAAAGATGTACTCCCAGCTAGCTCCCTCCAGTTACTTTATTCACACAATTTAAGGTTAATCGGGGCTGGGATCATCTTGCTCTTACTGCCTGAGAGAGCAGACAATGCCCACAAATCCCAATCCCCTTTGATTAGAGCAGCAATAATGAAAACTAAGAAGTCCAGTCTGCCAGGAGTGTCTAAGACCAAGGTCAATGTGGCGGCAAGCTCCCACATAGCACCAAGTGCAGACTCCAGAGAAACGATTGTGCAAGGTTTAAGTAGTCTCAAAACAACTTCTCAGCCTCTACTGAATAACCCAAACATAAGCTAAGGCTTTTCTGAAACATTTCTCTCAATGTTAAACACAAAGACTTTACTATGCATTTCACTTAAAGCCTGACCTTTTAAGAAATACTGATGTGTTATCTGGTCATTTTAAGGAATACATGGTAATCATTATGAAAGCCTCCATTGTTCCCCTTTATGCTCCCAAACACACCTTCCCACCCCTACATAACCTTATTCTAGACACAGAGTTCAGCATTTTCTACAGGCTTAACTAGACATCTAGCCAGACACATTCTGCTTTTGTAGCACAATGACAGCTGGCAGCTACTTGCGGTAATAAAGCTATAAAGTAATAGACCTGGGTATAATGCTTTAAGGACAGCAATATTCAAGCCCAAACAATTATTTCATGTCTGCACGATATGTTTTTATACAGTTCCCTTTTCTAAAAGAGGGTCCCATGTCTCAATCTCTCTATAAAGGCTGACTTTGATGAGGCACTCTTTTCCTATCATTACACCATATTTCCCATTATAAGCTCCTGTGTATGGTAAAGATGGAGCTATCCATCCCACATTTTGCATTGCATTTTCCCCTCTTGGAGCATACCCGATCCTCCCATTGATTCTATATCATTGGTGTCCAGGGAAGTTACTCTCAACAGTTGGCACTATATGTGTTCTCGAGGCTTTCCCCCTATTCTGTGTATGCATGCCTTACTCTCTTTCCCAGACATGGTTAATGTTCCAAGTGTTATTTTCTCATATGTACCTAACTCTCCATTGAGTCAGAAAAGCTTCCAGGACTAGGAGTTGTACTTAGTAATTCCAGATAAGAAATTTGAGAAGCATAAGCCCCTTGCTGATTCTAAGGGGAAAACATTCATGAAAGGACAGAATTTACAGAGAAAATTACAGCTGTTGCATGTGTGACTGACAAAATAAAACTACAAAAAACAAACAAACAAACAAAAAAAACCCCCCACAAGACTCAACAATATAATGAGAGAAAAAAGAGCCTGCAAGCTGCACGAACTCTGCAAATTCCTACGCTGTCCCATGGTCCTTGCCAAGCACGGTGTCCGTTTCCATGGGTTCCTTGCCCCAGGAAACCCATTGGACAGGCAGTCATATGCCGATCTGAGGCTGGGCTGCATGGCTCCCTACATGTTACAGTATGAACAAATTCACCGATCTGTCTATAAAGGTAAGATACTTAAGGCCAGCAAGATGGTTTAAGAGAATGAAGGTATGTGCAGCCAAACTTGATGGCATGAGTTCAATAACTGGGACCCACATTATGGAAAGAACCAACTCTTTAAATCCTTTTCTGGTCTCCATGTGTATCCCATTCCCCCTGAAAATAAAAACATGAAAACATGTAATAAAGTTCTTTTTTTTTTTTTTATTTAAAAACTCTTTGTCACAGACTTTTGGAGAAAGGTATTTTCAAAACATTCTTTACTTCACAGAATTTACCAATTCGGTACGTCCTAAAAAACGCTTTATATTCACAGAACCGGATCTACACACTTAGGGATATAATAGCGAAGGAAGCCAGGAATCATGGCTTCGTGTCTTCCTGCTAACATCGATCCTACCCCCCACCCCATTGGCGACTCAAACTCCCCCACAAAGGAAGCAGCTGGGGGGGGGGGCAAGCTTAAGCCACATAGCGGGACAAATGACTTTGAGTCGCTGTCCACTGGAGAACAGGAGGCACGGAAGGTGCCAGAAGGGGAGGATGGAGGTTAGTCAAAGGGCGGACAGAAGACAAACCTGAAGCTGGGGACAGGCCACTGTGGCACAGAGAGCACAAGAGAATGACCGAAAGCCGAGCAGGAGGCAGCTGGGAGTGCCGTGGGGGCAGAGTCTCCCAGTGGTGTCCACAACCGGCCTCGGTTGGATCGGGTGAGGTCACAGGCCCTTGTGAGGTGTGGGGGTGCGCGCGCCACCTCAGCGCTTTCCAGGAGGCGCCCGGGCGGCAGGTGCTGGCCAGCCCAGCCGCTGCTTACCCGGAAGCCTGGGACGACCAAGTGGCGGGGTCTTTGCGCCTGACCGCCCAGGCGGTTCCATGGGCGGAGCTTCGGGCTGATCAGGTGATCGCAGGGGCGGGGCCTCGCCGCGAGGGAGCGCGGGAGCCGGCGAAGCTAGAGCAGCCCCTGAGGAGACTTGATGCCCAGGGTCGGGGACAGTGGTGGGACAATTCACAGGCCAGGGTTTAGAGGACAGTACTAGGACCCCCGGGTGGCAGACTCTCTGAGGAAAGGGATAAACCGTCCCAGAGGCCGAGGAAAGATGCAAGGATAAAGGAGAAAGCGAGCCTCAGTGTAACCGGATGAAGAAACATCCTGGAAAGGTGGAGAGGTATCTAAGTGGTCAGTCAAATGGTTGTCCTAGTTAGGCGGAGACTTAGTGGTTAGGAAACTTGGCCGCGCCTTCAGATCATTTGTTGTCGTATTGAGGAAAGTTTCTTTGTTTTCGTGTCTACTCCAAGTTTTTACCTCACAAAGGCGGGTCTGGTGGGAATCCTCCACAGCCTAAGTTCTTGCATGAGGCGGAGGCTTTAAGCAAATATGATAAATGGGAGTTAATGTTTGAACATTCATCAGCGGCGTTAGCCATAGTAAGACTCGGTCTGCAATTGTGGAAGTCTGTTCTAGAATATTAATAATACTTAACAATAGAAGAAAAATTCACTGATGGTTGCAACTAGCACTGTTATACAACTAAAAGTGTAATTAATGAATAGCCCATCAAATATAAATTGGATATTAGTAAAAAAAAACATTGTGGATTAAAGAATGTTGCTTATTACATTTCTAGAAGTGAAAGTTTTTGGTGTGAAGCCAGGTTAAAATATGTTTGCAACAAAATTGACCCCCCCCTCAATTTTTTTCAAAAAGTTTTAAAATTATGTGTGTATGTATGTGTCTATATGGTTTGTGCACGTGGATGCAGTGCTTGAGGCAGCTGGAAGAGGGCGTCAGATTTCATGGAGCTGGAGTTACAGGCAGGTGTGAGGTGCCTGACATGGGTGTGGGGAACCCAACTTGGGTCCTAAGGGCAATATTTGCTCTGAACCGGTAAGCCATATCTCCAGCCCCATGCAGCATTAATATTTTGAGGCAATATTGTATGGTACAGGAAACCAGGAGTTTGGGAGCTGGATTTCCAGAATTCAAATTCTATCCCTCTGTTTGCTGGTTGTTGTGTGTTTCTTTAATAGAGGGACAATGACATTTCATTAAAGGGAATTATGTGAGATATGTGAAATAATTCATGCCAGTGTGTTTATCGTAATGTCTAGTGCATACTAAACGCTCAGTAACAAGGTTTTAGCACTTTAGCGTCTTAGGGTTTGTTTAAATAAATAGAATTGGGCTTCTCTTCCATGTCATTTGAGATATATGTCTCTACTTCTCTAAATACTAAAAAGGTAAACTTAAGAATCTGGGTGATCTCTAACTATTGGCTGCTTGTTCTAGCTTTTGCCCACCAGCCTATATTAGTGCCATTTATTAGGCATTGCACTCTGAGCTTTACACTGAAGAGGCAACTTTAAGTAAATAAATATAATTCAGTTTGTCTTTTAAACAGGAGTATGATCTTTCTTTTTTTCTGTTTATATTTTTCTCAGGAGATCCTTTTATATTATTGCTCATCTATATTCATTCATCAAGGCTTTTGGGTCCTGAAGGACTGAATTTACCTCCAAACAGGAAAATGGAGAAAACACATTTATTTTTCAAGGTAAATTATTCAAGACAGTTTTTTAAAAAAAATTTCTCCTTTTAAAATTAGTTATATTATTCATGCTTTTTAAATACTTAGAGAGTATAAGGTTCCTTTGGCCCTGCCTAATAACTGGTGCCTTTTGAACTCTTGTAGTATGTATGTTGGACTGATTCAGCAATTATTTAGTACTATATCAAAAGAGCTTCTAAGGTATGTCATGGAATTCTGTATACAAGAAATTAACATATATAAACAATATATTTTCTCTTTTTGGTATAATTTTTAGGTGGTCAAACAATTGAAGTTATGTTGTCAAAGTGGTTATCCCATTTTTCATTCCCACTAGCATGAGATAGGTTCTTCAGAGAGGGGTGGGGTTCCTTTAGCCCCTCACCCTCTTTGACAGGATGGTGATAGATTCAATCTTGTAGAGATCGTGTGCAGATAATCACAGCTGCTGTGATTCAAGAATCCCACAGCCACACCATGCCTGAACATCAGAAATCCCCACCACTTGCTTCCTTCTGGCTTTTTACTCCTTCTCTGATGTTCCCCGAGCTGTTTATGGTTGGACATTTGTTTTAGTTACTGTTCTGTTGCTGTGAAGAGACACCAGGACCAAGGTGGTGCTAACCAAAGCAAGCATTTAATTGCGGACTTGCTTACAGTTTCAGAGGGCTAATGCTTTATCATCATGGTGGGAGGCAGACAGGCATGGTACTGGAGGGGGGAAAGGGAAGGGAGGGAGGGAGGGAGGGGGGCTGGTGTGGGCTTTTGAAACCTCAAAGCCGACTCCCAGTGACACACCTCCTCCAACATGGCCACATGGCCTGATCCTCCTGCAACAGCTCAGCAAGTGGGAACTAAGCTTGCAGGCATGAGAGTCCACGAGGGCCATTCTCATTCAAACCACCGCAGTATCCCATAGTCATTTATATTTTGACGAGTTTTGACTAGCTATGACCAGCTACGCTTATATTGTGACAAGTTATTGTCACCACTGACCACTGTAAACAGAAGCTTCGCTTATCAAAGCTAATAACACTTTCCTGTGGGCATAAACACAGTCATTTAGAAAGCAGCTGGACAGACACATCATGCTCACAGCTTCCCCTCTAGGGCTCATGAGCCCCCTAACTTTTGGCCAGGCTTATAGTTATACCTGTGGATCCCCTTTTGTGGAGCAGGCCTCAGATCCAATCAAAAAGCACAATTAGTTTGCCATTATTTTACCCGTGAGCTCATCTTGTCTGTGTTGTTGCACGCAGGGGCCACAGCCCAAGGAAGACAGCTGTTGACAGTTCTCTTTCCATAGTCTGTATAGCTGCTTCCGGCTCCGTTGGAGCTAGCCAGCAAGGAGAGAACATCCAACTGAGTTTCAGGTTTTCCTATGTGTCATGGCAATTGCTGGTATTACATATTATTAAAAATAACAGTCGCCATGCATTCAGTACATTAGGTTATTAAAACATCCCTTCAGTTTTCCTGGAACTCTGTCCCCTTTGATACTCATCTTCCCTTTCTCCACCCTTCCTCCTCCATATCAGTCTGTTTCTATTTGAGAATTTCATATGTGCATACACTGTATCTTAGTTGTAGTGACCACCCACTTCCAGTTCCCCCTGGACTCTCTCAACATGTCTCCTTCCTAACTTGATGATGTTTTGTCTTTTAATGGCCCACTGAGTTCAGTTAGTGCTCTCCAGATGCATATGGGTGTGGTGAGCTGCCATCATCTTTAGAAAAATTTGCTTTTAATTTCTCTCTCTCTGTGTGTGTGTGTGTGTGTGTTTGTGTACATGTACATGAGTGCAGGTGTCTGCAGAGGCCAGAAGACAGCATTGTGTACCTTGGAGCTTTAGTTATAGACAGCTGAGAACCTACGGATGTGTGATGGGTCTCTTCAAGAGCAGTGTTCACTCCTAATTGCTGGGCTGTCACTCCAATTGCCTGACATGCCTCTTGATGAGCACTTTTCTCCTTATTTTTGTGAGACGAACAAATGTAACAAAGACCTTACATTATTTATCTCTCTATGCCTGGCTTATCTAATGTAGCATATGCCTTCCAGTTCCCTTCATGCTTTTGAAAGTGACAGAACTTCTATTTAAGTCAGTATAGTATTGTATTGTTGTCTATATATAGTTCCTTTATTTGCTTGCTAATTGGTACACACTAAGGTTGATTCTCTATCTTGGTTATTATGAGTCCTGCTAGAATGAACACGGGAATGCTCATATCTCTAATACCATGATTTTAATTTTTCTGAGCTGCTGTATGGTGTGACAGTTATGTTTAAGGAGCATCTATACTATTTTCTAAATTGACTGTATTTATGGACCCACCATTGTTGTGGAATATTATTTTAACTGTGTAAAGGTGTGTTCCATTTGTTTCTGTAGCCTTTGTTAATGATACAAAGGTATGTTACATTTGTTTTATTAACCTGGGATCAGGAGGCTAAGTCAGGAACTGTTGTTCCTGGGATCAGGAGGCTGACAGGAAATGTGGAGGAACCAGGAGTAGCCATTGTTCTAAGTGGGGGCAGAGCCCCCACTTGGTTTTTCTAGAGAGGTGAGCAAGGAGAGGTTAGCTATTTACTATTCAGCCTCTCTGAGATAGCAAAATTTCACCTCAACCTTTGAGTCCTGAGTTCTAGAGAAGAATAGAGATTTATGTAAAGTTTCCCTTAGAGGCTGTGATAGAGCCAGTGTCCTAGGGAACAGAATTCTGGCCTGGCTGCTGCCCATGTGGTGAAACTGCTGCTGGTAGCTGTGGAATTTACAACTGTGTGTTGAGACAGCAGTTGCTTAAGGTACAGCCACTGTATTGAACGCAACATTTGGCACCCATTGTAGGGCACCAAAATGTAGTTGGTTCTTTTTTTTTTTTTTTTTTTTAATTCTTTGGGTGCCTACCACCCAGCTCCCAAATGAATACAGAGACTTAACCTTAAGAATGCCTGGCATCTGCATGCACACCCATGTGTATACACACAACACACACCGTTCTTTGTATATTTTAGAATAGCGATTCTTTATCAAATGTGTCCTTTACAAATGCTTTATCCCAGTGCCTGGCTTATCTTTTCAATCTGTTGAAAGTGTTTCTCACAAGTAGATACTTTTTTATTTTAATGGAGTCCAATTAATAATTTTTTATCTTGCATGAACCATACCTTGGGTTTATATCTGAAAATAGTGATTTTTTTGTGATAAAATGTTTGTTTTGAAAATATTTAAAATTTGCACTTACATATATTCATGAATGCTATGCATTTTATAGTCACACAATAATATTAAGGGATATATATTTCTATAGAATAATAATGTTTGAATGAATAAGATCCTTTTAAAACCCAACTCCTTGTAGTTGAATGTTATAATTAGTCTGTCTGAGGAAAAGAATACTCATGATCGTGACTGTTGATTATTCTCAGACGGAAGAAAGCATTGATGTATCACTTCATGGATCTGATTCTTTAACAAGTAACTCATCATCAAGAAATACTGAAAGTAAGAAATGCAGCAAAATTTCTAAATCAACAGGGAAGAAAAATTCATCTGAAACTAAGTGTTTAGTCCCAGAATATAAAAAAGTGTAAGTCCTTTGCTCTTTGTCTAAAATCCATATATGAATGTTTGCCTTTTTGTGACTGGGGTACCTCACTCAAGATGGTTTCTTATAGTTCAATCCATTTGTCTTTGAATTTCTAGATTCAATTTTTTTTTTCTGCTGAGTAGTACTCCATTGTGGAAATGTACCATATTTTCTCCATTCATTCTTCAGTTGAGGGGCATCCAGGTTGCTTCCAGGTTATGGCTGTTTCAAACAGTGCTTCTACAAACATATTTGAACATATATCCTTATTGTATGAATGTGCATCCATTGGGTGTATGCCTAAGAGTGGAATTGCTGGATCTTGAGATAGACTGATTCCCATTTTCCTGAGGAACAGCCATACTGATTTCCAAAGTGACTGTACAAGTTTGTATTCCCACCAGCATTTTTTTCTAAAGCACAACTGTACTTTGTAAAATAGGTTTTGTTATCATATATTTGGTCTCTTTTCCTGTCTCTATTTCTTAATAGAAAACATATTTTAGACTGTGAGTCATAGTCAAATGGTTGAAACCATTTCCTTTGACGCCAGAGGTCTTATAGGTGACTAACCAGGGTGTGTGTGTATGTTGAGGGGAGGAATAAGAAACAAGGTACTGGGCTCTCAGGATAGGACTTTGGGAGGGCTGGATTTAATGAGGATATAGTATCAAAAAGGGCAAGGTATCTGCTAAGAAAGGAAGTGGATAAATGACAAAACTGTGTCTTATTTCACAATGTTGTTTAGGATTAAGTTTACCAGTAGCTTCAATAGTGGAAAATCTACAGGACAAAGGACCCAACAGCAGTAGGAATAATAAAAGGAGAGGCTATGTAGATGAAAAGAGATTCAAAATACAGTCCAGCCAAGCATGGGGACTCACTGCATCCTGAAACAGAGTTTTGAAGTTTATATTTAGCAGACAGCTGGAGACTTGGGCACCAATTCTACATTTGTTGATACTAAGAAATGTCTATCAATTTTTATCTGTCATAATGGTGTTTTAAATGTTTTTTCAAAAAGAGAACATACCTTATAGAGATGTTTATCAAAATTGTTACAGATGAAACAATACTGATGAAATATATGCAGATGAAATAAATATTGCAATTTCAAATTTATAAAGGTTGGAAGCAAGAAGAAAAGGCATAACGAGGCAGTCGGTGTAGGCCATTATTTAAGTGAGGTGATGGTAATGGGAAAATTAGCACGTTATTTGGAAATTTGCACAATCAAAGGTTGAAAGATAGATAAAGCCAGAAAAACAACTCAGCATTATTCTAATTTCTGTGCCATTTAGATATGAAACATCATTATTCCTGTATAGAGAAGAAAAATCCACTGACTTTTCAGGATCAAAGAAAATCAGGAAAAAGAAAAGTTTACAAGTACAGTTCCATAGTAAAAGAACTGAGGTAAGTCAAGATTTTTGAAAGTTTTCTTTTTGTCCTTAGCTTCCAAATATTCTTGATGTTTTGGTCCAAGTGTTGAAATGGTACTTGATGGGAAATGTCATTCTGTAAATAGGTTTCTCTTATTTATTAATGAATAAAGCACTGTTGGCCAATAGGAAAGCAAGATAGGCGGGGCTAGGAGACAAGGAGGAGAGAGGAAGTAGTAGGGAAGAGTCAGCATGTAGAGATGGGAGAGAGCAGAACGATGGCCCTACTCTCCCGTAAGATGAGACCACGTGGAAACACTTAGATTAATAGAAATGGGTTAATAATTAAGACAGAGCTAGCTGATAAGAAACAAGTACCTGGCCAACAGACTTAATTCTAATACAGAGTCTCTGTGTATTATTTGGGGCTGGTGTGGTAGTGGGACAAGACTGACAGGAAAAACCTTACTCATTACAGGTACTATTTTAAAAATTGCTTCTTCTTCCTCCTTTCCTTTTCGTATTCCTGTGACAGTTAGTGCCAATTGTGAACTATATAAAGTAGAAGGTTACCTTGGAGATGGACTTCTGGGCATGTCTTTGTTGGGGGATTATCTTGATTACATTGAGATAGGAAGAGCTGTGGGTGTAACCATCCTTTAGACAGGAAATCCTGTGCTGTAGAAGAGTGGAGAAACTGAGCTGAGCAAGTGTGAATGCATTCCTCACTCTGTTCCTGATTGTGGATGTGAGCAGTTTCCTCAAATTCTTGCTGCTACTGTGACTTCCCTGCTATGAGGGACTACAATGAGGAGCTATGAGCCAGAAAACTCTCCGAGTATTTCATCCTAGTAATAGGAAAGGAACTACAATACCACCCCTTTATTTCTGCTTTTTTGTTTGTTTTGGATGAATTCTCACTGGGTTGTCCACACTAACTTAAGTCTTGGGCTCAAGTGATTTTCCTGCCTCAGTCCCTTAAGCAGCTGCTGGGACTATAGGTGTGCGCTACCATATCTGACTCTCTTCTTTCCCTTTCTTTATAAAAATAAGACATTAAATCCTTTCTGAAAACTAGATTTACTTTAAATTACTTTAAATAGATCCTATTAAATTAGTTAAATTTTTCCTTTCATTTTACTGTGTTTTACTATTTTTCACAGTTTTAACTTGACCCCAGGAGGTTCTTGGTTGGTGGCATGTATTGCCAACATTTGCTGTCATCTTCACATGGTGTCCACATGGTCTTCTTTCCGGTGACTGGGTCTCATGATCTCTCTTTTCCTTATTCTTTTAAGCACACCAGTCCTTGGACGTCTCCTATTGACATCCTTAATTTCATTACATCTGCAGGGACCATTTTTTCTTTAAATGAGATTACGTTCTCAAGTTTCTGATATTAGGATGTGAAGTGGAACCAGCGCTGTGCTTACTATATTCTCTGTCATGTGCTTTGGTGCATATTTCTCTTCATTGATATTTGTTGCCTTCCTTAAATCTGAGAATGAGCACTCCTTATGCAAACATTCAATCTGTCGTCCTTTTTACTTCTCCCATCTCTGGAGCCCTGTGCAACACCAGCCAAGCCCTAATTCATCTCACGGATGCTTCCTGTCTTCTAGTTCTTTTCTGTCTTTCTGGCTCTTCGCCATGTGTGCACTGGACCACATCATCCCATTCTTTATGTTCTGCGGCATTTGTATTTGTTGCCTTTCTCTCATAAACCATTAGGTTGTAAAGATGAAAGCTCTGCTTGGATTGTGGATCTGGATGTTCCAGTCCCACTCTTGGTGAGGCAGCGTCCCATGACAGGGACATGGGCTAAACACAGCAGCGCTCCCTTTTTGAACTGCTATTCATAAACAGTAAATCAGGAAGATGCCAGGATCCCGCAGTCCTACAGTGCACCCCAGTGTCCTAGAGGCCTCCCACTGCTTCCTACCAGACTCCCAGGGCAGAATCTGCAGTACGTCCATCTTTGGGGGAGTACTGCCCATAGTTGCATTGTTTTTCCCCTAATTGACTTTATTTTTCTATTTTGCTCCCTGTCTATTTTGTAGTTAACTTATTTTTTTCTTTATCCAGCTAAATTTAATGTGCTAGTTCAACCTTGTTCCCTGAGATTTTAATTTCAATTGTTGTTTTATTTCCTTAAGTTTTCTTTGGTGGGTCCTAAAAGTCCACCTGTATCTCATACTCTGCTCACTTCCCATAGTTATCTCAAGAAGGTATCTGATAGATCCAGTGTATGAAATCTCTGGGGCATCCAAATCTTATTTTGTTCTTGTTCATGTGAGCCTGTGTCCTTTCATTCATGCATAGTTGATTCCGGCTACCTTTCTGTATAGTCAAGGAGGGCCTTGAGGTTTTGGTGACCCTCCTGTATCTGTCTCCCTGAAATCATGTGCTATGATTATAGACATGCACCATCCTCATGTCTGAGTGCAAAAGATTTTTTTTAGAGATTATTTGCACACATTTCTGCCTTGCATTTCAGAAATTTAAAAAAAATTTTGTGAGTGTTTTAATTAAAATGTTCCAGTTTTGGCTTATGCATTTGAATTAAATATTTATACATGCCTAGAGATTGGTCATAACTAATATGAGGAGGGGTTTTTCTTTCTTTCCTTTTCCCCTCTGGCTTGGAGTTGAGATGGACAAGACTACTCTGTGTACCCCTCCATTGGAATTAACTTTTGTTATTGTTGCTGTTTTTCCTGGCTGGTTCTTAAGAGAGAACATTACTTCGGAGGGCATTAGCTTTATGTGGGACCTCGGTACCAACTCTCATCAGTTTCCTGGGGCTTGAGTTTTCTTCAAATAGTCTTTAAAGTCCCAAGTTCTATGAAAAATTGAAAATATACACACAACAGCTTCTAATTTCTCAAGTGGTATTTTTCTATCCACCTGGTTGGCTGTCTTTTTTGAATATGCTTTATATGTGCTATGGTTAAGTGTTTAATTTATTCAATCATATGGATAACCTAAAATTAAATTACTTGTATCATTTGAATAACATTGGTTCCCCACAGTATTTTGCACATATATCTATCTAAAGCCTGTATATGAGCCTAATCTGGTAGCATATCCTTGCTTTGCCATAGGCTTCACCTGTTCTATTAAATATTTATTAATTAAAATAATGTTAATTAGAAGGTAATTAGTTATAAACTTAATAAAAATGGTGTCTCCAAAGAATATGATAATAGTTTTAAAAAGTTTTAGTGCATATGAAATAATGTCATTACAAGAAACAGTTTTATTCCAGGAATGTGGATTGGTAAGTGAGATGCTCTGGTATGATTATTTTTCAAGAAGCTTATTATTCAAGGATGCTGGATGATCAGGATGATCTCATGCACCAACGTACTTGCTTTTGCCTTCAGATTGCCTCTCACTCTTCGAAGATGTCAAAGGAGAAGATGACTGGGAAAGAAAGTACTTCATACAAGTTGCCATACCAGTTTGGTAGTCACAAGACTTCACTAACTCCTCGTACACCTTCCTCAACTATTCGGTATTCAAATCATTGTATTCTGATTTTTAAACGAGGGGCTTGGATTTGGAGTTTTTCTCTAGAATTATGTATCTCATCTGTGTACAGAATGCCAATAATTTATTTAAATTACCTTCAGAGGGCTCATGTAGAGGCAGAAACACTTTATGTGGGATTGGAGGACTTAGATTGTGTCCTAATTGGCCTCATACCCTATTTGAGTGCTTGTAAAATTCACATTGCCTTACTTTCCACTTTTTAAAAGAGAGACTCTCATGATGTAACTCTGGCTGGCCTTTGTAGGCCAGGCTGGCCTCAAACTCAGAGATCCTCCTGCCTCTGCCTCCTGAGTGCTGGGATTAAAAGCGTGCACTGGTTCCATGTGTGTGTTTGTGCAGATATGTGTGAGTTACGGGTGGCTGTGAGCCATCAGATGGGGTGCTGGAAACCAGGCAGGTCTTCTGGAAGACTAGCAAGTGCTCTTAACTACCAAGCCATCTGTTTAGCCCCTCACTTTCCATTTCTGTACAAGAATCTTGTAGTGTATGGACTCAAAGATCCCTTCCATCTCTAATAATTATGCTTTTACATTTTACGGTAATATCAGATGAATCCTTTTTCCCCAGACATTTTTTAAAATAGGTGATGATGGAATCTAGGATTTCTTTTTTTCTGTTGCTCTTAAGATGCTCTTATTTGTCATATAATGCCTTTCTTTGAAGAGTTACTGTATTTGTGTTAACAGCAGGAAAAACTGAACCAGAGCCAGTGACTAGTAAGTAAGGGTGTTGACAAGGTTAGATTCTGCTCCCTGTAGAGACAGTCAGAAAGGAACAAGGGGATATTGGGTGACAATAACAACTCTAAACACCTGGGTTCTCTTGGTTGAGATTCATTGCACAGGGCCATAGTCCCAGCATTTGAGAAGTTGAGGCAGGAGGATCACCAAGAGTTCAAGGGTAGCCTGGCTATGTGGTGAATCTGATGAAGCCTGGACAACGTGGGTGAGACTATGTTTCAACAAAACACCAAAATAAAACCAGGCCAAAAAGAAAAAGTCTTACAATTTTAGGATATTTATAGTTAGCTGATATTTTTCTGTGGGGTTTTTATGAATGTCCTTTTATGCTTTCTAATGTGGCCCTTTCTCTGACAGGAGGAAGGAGACACCTTCTAACCTGGACCTGACATTGTATGAACAGATACCTGAAGGATACTTAAAATATCAAGAATTAAATGGTAATAAATTCTAGAATTTATATTGCTCTCTCCCTCTTTCCCTCCCTACTTCCCCTTTCTCCCTCTCTCCCTCCCTTTCTGATAGAGTCTATGCAGGTTATGCTGGACCCAGACTTGCCATTCTTCGGCACCCTTGGCATTCCTTTTAACTTTTGACGAGATTGTTTTGTGTTTCCTTTGAGTTTATTCCACACTTTCACTATTTTTCTCATATTCTCAGTCCAATTACCTAGTCGTTAGCTGTGCAAAGATATGAAAAATTAATTAAAATTTGCTTCTGTCTTAGGGCTACAGTTAGTTATCTCTGAGAGTTCAGCTGGTAAAGTGATCGCCATGCTAGCATGAGGACATGAGCCAATCCCAGCATTTACACTAAAAAGCCTGGACTTGGCAGTGCAGGTGGTAATCCCAGCCCTCGGATGGCAGAGACAGGCAGATCCCTGGAGCTCACTGCCCAACCAGCCTAGCCTAGTTGACAAGCCACAGGTCCCAGTGAGAGACCTTGTCTCAGGAGACAAGGGATGACTCATGAAGAATGACACTGAGGTTGACCTCTGACCTCTACACATTTGCATGTGTGCACACACATACAATTTGCTTATCTAAGTCTATGAAAGTAAACATTTTACTTCCCATTTCTTTCTAAATTTCAAGAACATTTAACATAAGAATGGCCTCTTTAATGTATTTTTTTTAAGTATACAATGCGGTATTGTTATTTATGTGTAGGATATTGTACAGACCTCTAGAATTTATTATATGTGTTTGAAATTTTTATCCAGTGGTCCTCCACAGCCATAATTATAGTCTTCTTCTTATATTCAGTTATTTTAGAAAACTAGTACAAATAGAGTGATTTGACTTGTGACTGCCTTATTTCACTAAATAAGCATCTTCTAGCTTATTCCAATCATTGCATATTACAATACTTCTATCTTTTAGAAGGCTAAGTGAATGATATTCCATGTGTATGTGACATTCTTAAAAATTATTCATCTGGTGGCTGAATACTGCTGGTCATAGATGTGGAAGTGCTATCTTATTGAGATCACATATATGTATATATATACATATATATACACATATATATGCACATATATACAGATGCATACACCCACATATACATACAAACATACATACATGCATACATAAATACACACACACATATGAACACACACATGAACACATACATATAGGCTTCATGTAGTTCAGGCTGGCCTCAAACTCACAATGAGGCCAAGGATGGCTTTGAACTTCTGATTTTCCTGCCGCCACTTTCCAAAGTGCTGGGATTGTAGGCATGCACCATCATTCCAAGTTTATCTAATTTCATTAAAAAAAAACCAGGAGGTAGGACTGTTAGATTATATAGATTTATTTCTTTATTGACAGGTAGTAAAAACTATTGTGAAGAATCTTCCTAAATATCTTGTTTTTCCTACCCATATACTTAGTTATAAACACCATTCTTCTCTTTTCTCTGTTTGAAAATGGTTCCTTTTCAACAGATGAATCCCTTTACATTTCATTTATATTTATTTATGTTTCTGCTTCAACAGGATCATATGTATATATGTACATGAACTCATTTACATGTATATGATTATATATGTATATGTTTTGTTTTGAGACAGGGTCACACAATGTAACTGTAGTTGGCCTGGAATGAATTCCCTATTTAGCCCAGGTTGGCCTGGAATTCATAGAGATCCGCGAGCCTCTGTCTCTTGAGTGCTGAGATTAAAGGCCGTCATTAAGTATAGCTATGCTCTATATTTGAAGTTTCTTCTCCTATTCCTCATTCTTTGTGCTCCTCCCTCTCCCCATTCTTCTTTTTTAATGTATATAGGTGTTTTGCATGCATGTATGTCTGTGCACCATGTGTGTGCAGAGCTCATTGAGGTCAGAAGGGGTATCAGATGTTCTGGGATCTGGAATTACAGACAGTCGTGAGCTGCCACGTGGGTGCTGGGAATTGAACCCTAGTCATCTGGATGAGCAGCCAGTGCTCTTAACCACTGAGCCACCTCTCCAGCCCAGAGAAACTTCTTAAGATAGTTTTAGTTTTCATTAGCATCCCATGATTTTTACTTCCCATTTTACTGAAATCTGCCATCTACCTCTATTCCTCCATAAACCTTATATTAACATCCTAATGTTGCTATTTTCAGTGTATTTTCCTTTTTTCCTCTCCCCATCCCCTTTTCTTTCTTCTACCCTTCTTCCTTCTCTCCTGGCCCATCCTTCTCCTCCCCACCCCATTTTTCTCAGGGTCTCACTTATAACCCAGGTTAATCTGGGGCTTATTATGCAACTCAGGCAGACCCAGAGCTTTGATCATCTTTCCTGGTTATTGGATAGTTTTCTTAAATACTGGTTTCATTAAACTAAACAGAATTCAACTCAACAGACATTCTTTTGAGGGGGAGAATCTATAAAGAAGCACTGGAAAGAGGAAACAGGAAAAAATTCTTGCCTTCTAGAAGCAATAAAAGACATAAAACATTTTGGTTGTGTTATATCCTGAGTGCTAAGGAGCAGAGAGGGACAGCTACAATGTTCTGGACACACCTAAGTCACTAGTTAAAAGAGTTTAAAGGGACAATCCGGGTAAACAAAAATGTCCTTTTCTTTCTTGTTTTAGTGATTATTGCTGTTTGCTTTTGTGAGTGTGGGATAATCAGGATGGGTATTCATTTTAATTAACTGTTGTGTTATACCCATGCAGCACTTCCCAAAGCCTGTGTAATTTTTAGCAAAGTTCGACAGGGTAAGATTTATGTGAATGATTTGCCAATGATCCTTCACATGCTGAAGATTTCTATGAATGACTCAGAAATGCGACAGGTGCTGAAGACTGTTGACATTGATGGTGAGTTTTCTCTTAAGCACCTTGCACACATGAATGTAAGCTATGTTTAGATGATTAATTACAGATGATGGGAAAGCTAAACGTCAGATATTTACATGATATAATTTTTATTATGTTTTAAAAATTATTTACAAAGAATAAAAAGCTATGCTTCAGGTGAATGTAATTGGATTAATTACTATATTGGATTATGAGACAGTCTCATCATTGGATCATGAGTGACATGTTTAGATTTTAATAGTAATTCTATATTAATGATGAAATAAATATATGACCCAATTTTTCCAGATGAAACCTAAGACTTTGGCAGTAATTTGTATCTATCCATAAAGTTCATGAAACAGCCCATTTCCTGGTTTTGGCCACTTTGAGGAAAATATTGTCCTGAGTTATATGCTCTTTATTATTCCCTTTTTATATATTTTCACTGTTATAGAAATATTTTTTTAAAAATATTTAAAAGTTTTATTTATTTAAAAACTTTTACAAAGTTTGTTATATATGTGTGTGTGTGTGTGTGTTATATAATATTTTTGGGTTTTATAGTAATATATAAACAAGATTCCTTTTGTATTTTTGTTTACTACCTATTGTTTGCATAATCAATTGCATGCTATTATCCTATGTGAACACATCATATTTTGCCTTCTATTACCTGAATCTTTCTGGAGTAAGCACTTTGACATAATGAAAGTAGAAGCCAGGATAGTCCTGAAAGGTCTTGGTCCACTAGTTACTCCAGTGACATAGCCTCTCGTCACACTTATTCTAGAAAGATGCTGGCTACAAACTCACTATCTCACTGGTGAAATCTGGGGTTATTTCCAAGTCTGCCCATTTCTTGATGTGTGTAACTGTTTTTTTTCCCCCAACATAGGATTTCTCTGTATAGCCCTAGCTGTTTTGGAACATACTCTGTAGACAAGGCTGGCCTCAAACTCACAGAGATCTACCTGCCTCTGCCTCCTGAGTTTTGGGATTAAAAGTGTGTGCCACCATCAACTGGCAATTTGATTTTATTAATAATTTTCAAAATCAACTGTGGGAATATAGTTTATGTTAAATTATGTTTTGAAGGTTTTGAGTTATTTGAAAAAGTATTGGATGGAAAAGGTTACTAAAGTTTTATAGTCAGGTAGTGTATACATCAGTATGCCTACATCTTATGCCTGATTATATAGTTCGAAATTTTTAGGAACTAAGAAAAGCACACCATATTTCTGGGATTGTAAATGTTTGTCATTTACTTTAGTCAGGCTTACATTGAATGAAAGCCAGAAAAGCCAGTGTGAGGCAGGAAACACCTTTAATCCTAGTGATTGCAAGGTCAAAATAGGAGAATCAGGAGTTTAAGGTTATCCTGGGCTACATAATAAGATCTAGGCCAGTCTGGGCTACGTGCAATCCTGTCTCGAAAGTCCAAAGGAGGAAAAACTGTTGAAGAAAAATGCACTTATGCTTGTGGACCCTTCGTTTTTACTTTTGTTTCTGAATATGTAGTGCGGAAGCTAGAGTGCTGTGTGTGTGTGTGAGAGTGTGTGTGTGTGTGTGTGTGTGTGTGTGTGTGTGTGTGTGTGTGAGAGAGAGAGAGAGAGAGAGAGAGAGATTGATTGATTGATTGATTGATTTTGGGGGCTGGAGAATTAAGAATGTTAGCTGTTCTTGTGGAGGGTGAGAGTTTGGTTCCCAGTTTCCATGTTGGGTAACTCATAGTCATCAGTAATTTCTGCTCTGGGTCTGACGCTCTCTTCTGGCCTCTGCAGGAGCTTATACTCACAGGCAGATGCTCTCCCTACCCCCCAATCCCTAGAAGTGCATAATTGCAAATATAAATTTGATGAACTCATGAGTGAAGAGCAGGAAAGTGTACTGACAATCCTAGTCTGAGGCATTCTTATTATTACTGAAACACTATTTATTATTTAATATGGCATTCAAATTCTTTCCTGATAAGTTCTCTCTCTCCTCCACACAATGTGAAAGTGTTATTGCTCTTGTATAAAGGGTATGTTATTCTGATATCAGTTAATTACACTTAAATTTTCAGTTTACATTTTCAGCTTAATGAGTTTACTGATGAACTTATTTTCTCCTTGTTTCTGAACCATTTTTATAGTTAATGGAATGCTGGATTTCACAGATTTCCTTAAGGCCCGGAATGATGCTTCTCATTTGGCCTCTCAGGATCCAGGTACAAATAATATCAAAAGTATAGAAGAGAAAGGTTTTGACAGAAACTTTTTTTAATGTGGGCCTAGGTAGTTAAACTTGTGTTTTTTTAGGATCGCCTTTCTTTTACTCCATAGTCTAACGTAGGCAAATTAGACAAGAGTATAATAGTATAATGGTTTGTGTGTGTGTGTGTGTGTATTCCACATGTGTGAAGGTATCCGCAGAATCAGAAGAGGGCATCAGATATGATGGACATGGTTGTTATACGCTAACTGGTAAGGGTCCTGGGAACCAAACTCTAGTCCTGAGAAAGAGCGACAAAAACTCTTAACTGCTGAACCATCTTTTTTTTGGGTCATAAAAGACTTGGATTAGGGCCAGTAAAATGGCTCACTATGTAAAAAATACTTGCTACTCAACCTAATTCAATCCCTGTATCACACACACACACACACCCTGGCTCACTGCTGTAGCATCATAATTTTCTATTGCCAAACTCCTGTTTTCTCTGTATGTAACTGCTAAGTAACCAGTAGATGAATTATTTTATTTTTTATGTATGCATGTGTATATGCTCATGTGTATATATGAGTATGCATATGTCACTGTGTGTGTGTGTGTGTGTGTGTGTGTGTGTGTGTGTGTGTGTGTGTGTGTGTAGGTCAGAGGAGATCTTGAATGTTGATCCTAGGTTTTTACCTTATTTGAGGCAGAGTCTCTTTATTCCTGCTGTGTACACCAGCCTAGTTGGTTTGTGAGCATCCAATGAGCCTCCTGTCTTTTCCCCCATATCACTATAGGGATTAGACATGTGACATCATGCCTGGTCTGATGGGGGTCCTGTGGTTCAGAGCTCAGGTCCTCACACTTTTCCACAAGCTTCTGATCAACTGAGCTATCTCCCCAGCCCGTAGACTAATTCATTTATAAAAATTTAATTTGTGTGTGTATATGTGCTTAGTGTGTGAGTGAGGATGCTTGCATCCCATGGTGTGTGTGTGTGTGTGTAGGTCAGCAGAAAAACCTTCAAACATTTGGGATTCAATTCTCTCCTTCCACCATGAGTTCCGGGGATCGGGCTCAGGTCGTCAGGCCCTTTGGCAAGCACTTTTATCTGCTGGGCTATCTCTATAGAATATTTTTCAGAAAGAACATTCTTCCCTAGTTAATCATAAATTTATATTCATGTGACTTCATTTTTGTACTTGTATGTGCTTGTTTTCTGTTGAAGTCTTATTTTCTTCTCCATTAATAGTACTTTCCCTAGTCTATCAAAAATCTGCATGTAATTTCTCCCTAAAACTTCAGATACTTATTGACTTCCTAATTTCTTATTTCATGTTACAAATAAATGACAAAGTGATGGGAAGAACTATTCATGTTAGTTATAGAAACAGTACTTCCAAAAATTTGAGACTGTTAGTGTTTCTTACTTACTCGTTAGGCATGATCTATTTCTTAGCTCAGTCCTTGGGATCATGTATTTTTAGAGTCAACCAGACTGTTTCTTTAGACTCAAGACTACATGAGTGTGTAGTATTATTCCTAGAAAAGCAAGCAAAACTCTGTTTTTCACTCACCCCTGTAATGTCATTAACACCTGTCACATGTGCAGTGGTTACATATGCAGTAGGTAAGATACTTGGCTGTTTTCCCTTTTGATTCTTTACTTCCTGTTTAGATTTTCCTTCAAATTCCTATGGCACTGAACTTCTTTGTCCCCTTGTCTTCTGACTTAGTGCCTATTTTTCTGATGACATTATATGTGTAGACTCCTAAGTATTTCACAGTTGTTAAATCATCACTTACATTTAAATTTCTATTTTGGGGGGTTTTAAAATCTTGGTTTCCTGTATTTAGCGTTAAAATGTTTTGAGGGTAATCAAGTTTCTTTTGTTCCTTTTAAAATAACACACATAATATTTTACTTTTAAAAATTTGGATATATGATGTCTGCATATTGAATTCTAAGAGAACTTCAGGCCCTCCTAGCTTATGAGTTTGATATTGACTTTAGAATACTTTTGTTTTATTGTGAGACAGGTTCTCAAGTCAACCAGACTGACTTGGAAATTGCTATGTAGCCGAGGCTGGCTGTGAATTCTTGATTGTCCTGTCTCCACCTCCTAAGAACTGGGATTATAAGCATGTGCCACCATACCCAGTTAGAATACTTTTAATATACCACTACTAACGTATATGTCCACAAATGCATGTATACATAATACAAAAGTTTTGCCAAGGCAAATGAGTTATCAGTTAGTGACAAGGGAGAATCAGAGGACCTAGATCTTATAGGGTCTAAAAAACAAAAACAAAAATCCCACAAACCAAAAACAATGATGCCTATTGATGGGAATCAAGATCTACCCCCTTTTTCTTCAGTGGTGTAGCCTATGCTCATAACTATAATTAAAATTCATTGGTTCAACAGTAGCACTACAAGACCTGAAGGTAGAAGGGGTAAGGAGTTGGTTAAGAGTGATCAGATGGTGAGGGGAACAAGAGAAGGGTAATGCAGGTGATTATGGTTGACATATTGTGTATGTGTGAAATGTCAGTGAAGCCTCTGTGCCTGGGATCACTTCTTCTGTGTTGGGTTATTGGTACACAACCATGATGTTTTCTTGGAAAAGCTGCTGGTCCTCACAATTTAATCATTTTTGTTCATTTCTTTTCCTCCAGAATTTCAAGATGTCTTGAAGACTTTTTCTAAAATAAAAAGTGGTCGTATAGCCGTTGATGAAGTGGCTGCTTTTTTGGATGGCATGGATATTCCAGCAAACCCTGAGGCACTCAAGGATGTGATAAACCACTCTTTCATGGACAGTGAGTTATTTGAATTTTACTCATTACTTCTATTTTGCCTCCATGTCTTCTTTTATCTCTTGATTTTACCTTTTGCTGCTGGTATTGCTTACTGATATTGGTAGTAAATATTAGTGTAGAAAAAAATTGAGAAAATCCTAAAATTGTTCTATTTTGGTATATTCTCTGAAAGTTAAGAATAAAATGAACTTGTCAGGCAGTGGTGGCACATACCTTTAGTTCCAGCACTTGGGAGGCAGAGGCAGGCAGATCTCTGTGAGTTTGTGGCCAGCCTGATCTACCGAGTTCCAGGACAGGCTCCAAAGCTACACAGAGAAACCCTGTCTTAAAATGAATTTTAAAAATTTCAGCATTGCCAGGCATAGTGTCATACCACTTTTAATTTCAGCACTTGGGAGGCAGAGGTAGGTAGACATCTGTGAATTTCAGGCCATTCTGGTTCCTTGAGTTCCAGGCTAACCATGGTTAGTCACACAGTGAGACTGTCTTAAAAACAAACATCTCAGCATTGAGGTGGTGAGATAGTTCAGTTGGTGAAACGCTTGCATTGTTATCATGAATACTTGGCTTGACCACACACATATGGCACATACATATATGTCCATATGCACATACACACTAAAAATAAATTAGAAGTTAAAATGTGAAAATATTCAGCCTCATTTTCAGTGGTCATTTCTTCTCTTTATAGATGGGTCATTTCTTACAGTAGGAAGACTTCAGAAAAGAGGAGACACAGAATTCTTGGATTCTCAACTTTCTTATGTAGTTTTGATTAAAATTTCCTATCCTGTTTGGTTATTCTCTATGCATCATAGCTTGATTTAAAATATAAGGATGTATGAGAGGTTCTATATTATGCTAACATTTGACCAAAGGATAGCCTACAATAATAATAGATTGGTTAGTGACTAATTAAATGATTTATTCATTCAACACGCCAGTTACTCATTTAATATCTACTATTCATGGAGTAATAATAGGTGGAATAAAGATGGATAAAATACAGTTCTAGTGTTGAGAGAACCATGTAAATTATAATGCTCAGTGGTAAATGCATGTAGTGGGGTGTTTGTTGGCTGCCATTGAAAGTGCCAGAGAGAGAGATTATCAGAGAAGAGAAGGTGATGTCTGAACTAAATACTAAAGGGTCAGTAGGGTTAATTGGATGAAGTGATGGTGAAGAATGAAGAGACAATGTAGGTTGATGCAACATTTTGTATAAACATGACAGAAAAAAAAAAACCAGATATTATGTCCTTTTAAGTGGGCTCCACTGGCTTTTTCTAGAGGTGACTTTGTAGTGGTTTGAAGATAGACCTAAGCTATGTATAGTTCTATAGGTTTGTTATTTATTTGGTTGATTTAAAGCTTTTTAAAAAAATTTATGTGAATTAGTTGTTTTGCCTGCATATATGTGTATATACCACATGCATGCCTGGTTTTCACAGATGCCAGAAGAGGGATCCTATCCCTTGGAACTAGAGCTACAGACAGTATGAGCAGCTGTGGGGTATTGGAAACTGAACTCTGGTCTTTTGCAAGAGCAACATGTGCTCTTAACTGTAATCTCTCAAGTCCCATGTCTTTTTGGTTTTGAAGCAGGGTCTCACTCTGCATCTTGGACCTGCCTAGAACTCATTTGTAGCCTAGACTGGTTTTGAATTTGTGGAGATCCTTCTGCTTCAACCTCCCAGAGCTGGAGTTTATTATTTATAATGAGCTCTTGGATGGTAGATGTGAATAGAGTTCGTAAAAGTGGAGATTTTTAAAGATAAGTTTCAAGCCATATTATTTGGTAGTCTTTAGGGTATGCCCTACCAGAAATAACAGGTTATATATGCAACTATTGCAGAACCTGGTCTCTAGGTCTCCCATGTGATTTGGAGAGGTAGATTGAGCAAATGAAACTAATTTCCAAGGATTGTTATAAGAATCGACTATATACATGTATCACAGAATTTGTCATTATGAATAAAGGGGTGAGGCAGAAACCCAAGGCATTCCCAATAGCTCTGTTGTGAAGTTCTCATATTTTAAACTCTAAGATAACTCTAATATCTATTTCCCTACTTTAATCCATTTGAACATATCTTTTCTTTGGGGCTACCACAGTTCAGCCTCCCAAGTCTACCCATACCAGTACTGATCCTTTTATACTACATGCAGAGTGATCTGTTCAAAGCACAGATCTGGTCATATTGCTCTTTTTTGTGGATGGTGCAGCAATAGCTCTTGGGATAAAGAACACTTTAAGGTTGATGTACAAGGCTGTGCTAGCTAGTTTTATATCAACTTAACAGAAGCTGGAGTCATCAGAGGATACATCAGTTGACAAAAAGCCTCCATAATGTCAGTCTGTAGGCGAGTCTGTAAAGCATTTTCTTAATTAGTGATTGATGTGGGAGGGCCTAGTCCTTCGTGGGTGGTGCTACTGAAGGCCTGGTGATCCTGGGTTCTATGAGAAAGCAGGTTGAGCAAGCCATAAAGAGCAAGCCAGTAAACAGCACCCCTCCATGTCCTCTGCATCAGCTTCTGCTTCCAGGTTCCCACCCTGTTTGAGTTTCTGTCCTGACTTCTTTTGATGATGAACAGTGATGTGGAAATGTAAGACAAACGCTTCCTCCCCAGGTTGCATAGGTCATGGTGTTCATCTCAATAATTATAACCTTCACTAGGAAAAAGGCTTGTATTATCTGGTCTTTACCCACATCTTCAGTTGTATTTCAGAACACATTCATGTTTTCTGTGTCCTTCTAGAATTTCAGCTACATACCATGTCCCTTCCTGCCAAACAGTTATTGCCTTTTACAGCTTTTCCTTGAACATTCTTTGTTATGAGTAAGGATTTTCTTGCCGGCCTGGTCCCACTGCTGCGCCAGCCCCAAATAATGCACAGAGACTCTGTGTTTGATATAATGCTGTTGGCCAGTTACTAGTTTCTTATTGGCTAGCTCTGTCTTAAATATTAACCCACTTCTATTAATCTAAGTATTTCCACGTCGTCTTATCTTATCAGAGAGAGGGACCAGCATTCTGCTCTCTCAATCTCTACATCTTGACTCCTCCCTACTACTTCCTCTCTCCTCCTAGTCTCCTAGTTCCACCTAGTTTCACACTTCAGATCTAAAATCTACTGTCTGTATGCTGACCTCTGACTAGACCACATTCTTATGTTATACACCACACAGTACTAATTACAGTGCAAATTATGTTTCAAATTGCTTTTTTAAACATTTGTGTTCAAACCTAAGCACTAAGTGTACAAATGTTAAGTTTATTTTGTTCAAGGTTTTTTTTTTTTTCTTTTTCTTTTGTGTGTGTGTGTGTCTAAGCTAGAGGTTGAATTTGGGTGTGTTCCTCTATGGCTTTCCTTTTATTGTTTTTAGAGAAAAGACTTCTCACTAAACCTACAGCTTGTTATTTGTCAATTTGAATTAGCTGGCTGGTGAAGCTGGAGATCCAATGTCTTCTCTCCTTCAACTCTGGGCCTGCAGCTGTGCATTGCTCAGCCTGACTTTGATGTGGGTGCAGCGAGCCCTTTACCCACTGAGCAGTCTCTCTAGTCCCCTGCTGTTTTGCAATATTTCATCCTAAGTATTTAGAAGAGTGCTTCTAGCGCATACTAACTTCGAACACATATGTATTGAATTAATAATCAGAACCTTTTCGTTCCATCCCCTCCAACCAGAGAGGTGTTCTTTGTCATGTTAATAAGTTGGCTAAAGTTAAACAAAATCCCTTTTAAAGAATGTCCTTAGGGTTTGGGAGATGGCTCCATGGGTAACAGGCTTGCTTTGTTGAATATGAGGCTTGAGTTTAGATTCCCAACACCCATGTAAATGCCAGGCATGCATACTTGTAATCCCAGTGATGGGGAATATGGATATGGAGACCAACACATCTTGGGAGCTTGCTGGCCAGTCAACCTAGAAAAAATGGTGAGTTTTAAATCTTGTCCTCCCCCAAGATAAGGTGGAGTGAAATAATGGAAATTATTCTCTGATCTTCACTCATGTATGCACAGGCATGCTCACTTGAATATACATGTACACATCCTCTACAACACACACACACACACACACACACACACACACACACACACACACACACCATCACATCACAAAGAAGCTCCTTGTCTTTAGCTATTGAAATAATCTCTCTGTGTTGGGGGTATTGGAATTTGAATCTAGGGCCTCAGTCATGCCAGACAAACACTCTGCTAGTTCCATATCTCCTGAACCCATGAAAATCATCTTAATGGGTATTTTGGTGATGAGAGTTAAAGTCAGTTTGGAGGTATCTACACTGAGATGAGAAGCAAATTAAAGTTCACTGAGTGAGAACAAGCAGGAATTTGGTACAGAGCTGTGGCTCAGTGCCGTAAGAAGACTGATGCAAAAGTGGATGGGTAGGGATCTAGCAATCAATAGAGAATATACATACAACTTCAAGCTGTAGCATAATTGTTTTTGTGCTTTTCTCATTAATTACAAATAATTGGTAAAAGTTGATTAAAGGAGAAAGGCCTATAGGTTATGTGTTAGCTCTCCTAGAGGTGGAGAGATAATCTATAGACACTGATGTGAGATCAAGAATCTATGAGAGCTGGGTGTGGTGGCACATGCCTGTGGTCCTGGCACATGCCTGTAATCCCAGCACTTGGGAGACAGAACCAGGGGAGTTGCTGTGGCTTAAGGCCAGCATGGACTATACAGTGAGTTCCAGGTCAGTTTGGGCTGTTGCTTGAAATCTTACCTCAAAAATAAGCCAAAACAATCTACAGAGCAGAAAAGTTGACTGTGGAAGTAAAAACTGCTCAGGAATCTTCAGCATTTGGATAGATACACACATTTGATAGTGTGTGATATGGGGGTCTCAATTGTTTTGCTTAAATATTAATGGAAATATTTACCTTAGGAAACAAAGATTTGGACCACACACATGATTCATACATAGAGGGACTGATACTGTAGATGCTCTTCTAGCATCTCGGACTTCATGCTGTTCTTTATAGCCTTCGGTATAGTTTGTTTATTAAAAATCATTTTAAGTGATAGGAAGTAGATAATTTACTAAGAATTTACCACAATTTAGAAATTCAGACAAAGGAGTAAATACTTGAAGTGGTATGTATAGTAAATTCTCAAAAAAATTATAAAATGTTAATCTGATTATCTAGTATAGACTCTTAAAATGTGGCTGTTTCCTTTGATAAAGAAACTCTTTTACTAAAAGGAAAAAATTATAGTCTTAATTTCATACTTCATTGTGTACTGAGCTATTAATGAACAATTCCAGATAGTACTCAAAACTCATAATGGCACACTCTTCTGAATCATATTCCTATTATATTTAGATTGGCAGCTGTATGTATGTTTAAAAGTAAATAGAAGTACTTTAAATTACTCTTTCTGTTACAGGTAACCACACGGTGGATATTGGGGACATTATATTTACTTTGGATGAACTGCTACAACAGTATGAAGATGTTTGTAAGGGATCTTTGTGGCTATACATTTTGTTTATAAGTAATCTTTAAGTTAACTCCTAGCCCACAGCTTTTTAAACTCTTTTAATTGATGTTGAGCCTCTTTCCCTGACCTAATAAGGGAGACCAAATAGGACATTCTATCAGTGGTCCTTCTTGATATTGATTACACAACACGTGTATTTCCCTGGCATTAGTTCCTTACATATTCTTTACCATCCCCAATTATTTGGTGTCTTTCTCCATTAAGTACATCCTTTTTGATCTTTACTGCACTTTATGTCACATTTTAAATTCCCTTTCATGTGTTCCGATATAATTTGGTCAAGATTATTCCAATAATTATACAAATTTGTAGCACAAAAAATAAATGATCCAGAGACTGATAATGGGGTTCAAGCTTCAAGCTGAAGATTAGAAAAGCAAAGCAGCCAGTCACTAACTCTTACCTTTACCTCAGACTGAAAGGGGATCCTGGCTTCACCAAACCTCAGACTGTAATCCCAGCTGCTACGCTCTCCTTGATGTGGCTGGAGAATCCTGAGACTGAATTCCAGCTCTGAGACCTTGCTCCTGTCTTACATACCTCTCTAATGCTGGGTTTAAAGGCATGTGATTTCAGGTGCAGGGGTCAAAGGCATGACCTCTGTTACTCTTCACTGTTGTGTAGGTCATGGTAGTCTTGGAATAACAGAGATCTGTCTATCTCTTAATCCTGAGTCTTGGGATTAAAGGTGTGTACCATCATTGCCTGATCTCTACAGCTTGTGGCTGACTGGCTTTCTGAATCCTCAGGCAAGCTTTAATTAATCATAAATAATATATCACTAAAGATTCTATAGTTTGATTAGCTTATTACAAAAAGGAAGCCTTGCCTTAGTGTTTCCTCACCTTAGGTTTCCCAGCAGTGGTAATTGATATTTATTGTTATAACTTGTTGATTTTTCATTAAAACTTAATTGGCATATATGTATATATTTCTGTACACACACACATATATATATATATATATTTATGTAGAAAGTGTGATAATTTTTGTAATGAACATGCTTTTTGATTCAGGATAATCAGCATATCCATTATCTCAAACATTTGTCATTTGTTTTTATTGGGAACTTTCTAACTTTAAAAAATTTTTAGACTTTTTGAGATGTTTTCTATGTTTAAATATTGAGTAGGAAGCGAGGTAGGAGCTTGTTACATGTGGCTTTTATTGTGTTGAAGTACATCTCTTCTGCATCCTACTTGGTGAAAGGTTTTATCATTAAACAATCCATTTTACCAAATCCCCTTGGTGCATTTGTTGAATTTACCACATTATTTTTGTCTTTTGCATTGCTTAAAATGGCCATGGTGTGATGTATGGTGTGTGTACAAGTGTACACACGAGTGTGTGCACACATGTGTGCATGCAGGTCAGATGACAATTTTCAGAAGTCCTCTCCTGCTACCATGTGAGTTCTGGGGAATCAAACTTAGATTGTCCAATTTGGTAGAAAGCACCTTCACCCACTGAACAATCTTGCCAGCCCTCCTTTATACTGTTAGCATATATTCTATTTATAGGTTGGTTTCTATGTGCTGAACCATGTTTGCATTCGAGGTGGAAATGACACTTGATTGTGGTGAATCATTCTCTATATAGTCTGTTGAATAAAGTTGCTAGTATTTGTTGAGAAATTTTATATATGCATTTATTGAAATATTGTCCTGTAATTTGGTCTTCCTGTGTGGTCTTTTGGTTTTAATGTCAGAGTGATCCTGACCTAGAGTTTAATGGGGCTGGAGAAGAATGGCTCAGTAGTTAAGAATACATACTGCTTTTATAGAGGATTCAAGTTTGGTTCCCAGCACCTATGTTGGGTGACTTACAACTGCCTGTAATTCTAGGATCCAACACCCTTTTCTGAACTTTATGGGCACCCACACTCACATGTGCAACCCTCCTTATGCATATAATTAAAAATAAAAACACATGAAAAATAAAATGAATTTGGAGATATTTCCTCTACATTTTTTTTGGGAAGTATTTGAAAAGGAGATGTATTAGTTCTTTAAAATTTATTGGGGGCTGGAGAAATAGCTCAGAGGCTAAGAAGAACAATGGTTGCTCCTCTAGAGGACTGGAGTTCAATTCCCAGCAACCACATGGTGGCTCACAACCATCTGTGAGATCTGGTGCCCTCTTATGGCCTGCAGGCACACATGCAGGTAGAACACTGTTCACATAATAAATGAATCAATCTTTAAAAGTTTGTTGGTACTTAATGATACCATCATATCCTAGGAGTTCCTTTGGTGATGCTTTGATCCCTGCTCATTTCACTTGGTATTGGTCTGTTTAAAGATCCAATTTCTTTATGACTTAATTGGGAAATTGAATATTTGTTTTGTGATTTATCCTTTTCTAGATTATCCAATTTGTTGAAGTATAATTTTCTATAGTAGCCATTTGTGATCATGAATTATGTATTCTTGCTAATGTTTTTACTTAAAAAAAGGAAAGAAACAGAGTACCATGGCATGCCCTTGTAATCATTGTTCTGAAGAGGTGGAGGCAGATCCCTGGGGCTCACTGGCAGTTAGCCTATTCTACTTGGCAAGCCCCAGGCCAATGGGTGACACAGTCCCAAAAAACAAGGTGGTTGATACCCAGAGAAGAACCACACCTGAGATAGTCCTCTGGCCTCCATGTGCACACACAGACACACACATGCATGTGATCACATGTGTGATTCCCCATAGATGTGCATGTACACACACCCAAATCTATGATAATAAGTGAGTTACATTCCTGTATAAAAAAGAAGCAATTAATAACAAAGAGACACAAGAAACTACAATACTCCCGTACAAGTGCACAAATTCAGGTTAGTTAGTCTGATGCTGTAATTGATGGTATTGTTGCTCTGTCAAATTGGTGTGGTTTCTCTGATTTGTAGGCATTTGGCAATCTGATAGATATAGCAAATCTTTCTTGCCGGACTTTCTTTGAGACTGCCAGCTCCCCAATAATGACATAGAGACTTCTTATTAGTTGCAAAAGCCTGGCCTTTGGCTTAGGCTTGTCCCCCGCTAGCTCTTATAACTTCAATTAACCTGTTTCTATTAATCTACATTCTGCCATGTGGCTCTTTATCTCTCCTCCATACTGGCTGTATGTCCAACTTCCTCAGTGTCTGTCTGACATCTAGCATGCCTAGATACTTACCCTGAGTTCCTCTCTCTCCCAGAATTCCTGTCTAGCTATTGGCCATTTGGTTTTTTATTAAATCAATCACAGTGACACATAGCATACAAATATCCTGCAACAGATAGAGTTGTGTTGAAGACCAAGTATTAGAACCCTTGAAATACTCTAAAGTATGTTTTCATCATAAAGTACCCTTCTGAACCATCAATTTGATTTTTTAAATGAAGTTGTGACTTTAGACATTTCGTTTTCTAATATGTTCTAGAGTTGTGATTTTTGTATCAGGTTATTTCTGCCTACAGACAATTGGGAGTATTCATGAGAATAATTATTTTGATTTTAACTTTATTAACAAGAGCTTCTCTTCTGCGGCTTCTTATAGTTCTGCACATTTACAATGAGGGTATTTCTAACTCTCTTGCCTTACTAGCCTGTTGTCTTTCTAAATTAGGAAGTAGAGAACGTTGCAGCCCAGTAGAATATTTAACTTTAAGCAGGTTTGAGTGGATGTATTTAAATATAATAATCTGTAAGATTGTTTTGGTTAATAGTCTGATCATTTAATTACCAGCCCTTTCATCTTTGTTACACTTTGTTTTGTATATTTAAGCAATTCCTAAGTTCTGGATTGGCCTTTATGAAAACTTAGTTGATTTGTTTGAAATATTGTACAAATCCTACAAATAAGTGAAATCAATAAGTAAAATAATATATTTCTCTTACTTAGCAATTGTGGAAGAACCCACTTCAAGTAAAAAATTATCAGATATACCTGAACATCATCTAGAACATAAGAAGAAAGGCAGTTTACTTTCCAGATTGCCCCAACCTCTTACATCAAAAAAACCTAGTGTACCTTCCCTTCAGTATCGCCGTAATGGTAAAATCATGGAGAAACATGAAGAGCCTGAATTTAAACCATCAAAAGCTTCCTTACAAAGAAGAAAACTGTCAAGTGGGGTTGACGTTGATCAAGTGGGAGTTCAGGAACCATATCCAAAGGTTGAAGATTCTGAGTCTAAACCACCTATCACCTTGAGGAGCACTACAAGCCTCGATACTACAAGCCTCGATAAGTTTCTGGATAAAAGTGATACTTCTAACATCTTAAAACTTGAGAAGCTAGCTGGGAGAAAGCAGCCCAGCACACTAAAACCAGTTTCATCGAAGGAAAAAGCTGCAGTTAGTGTCTTAGGTCAGTGTCACATGCCTAAGTCAGGACTTAGGTTTGGAGTGTTTCAGTCTGTGGAAATGGGCAGTGTGAGCCGATCACTGATTCCTTACACTTCCCCTGCTCCATCCCCGAATAGTTAACCTTTCAGTTGTCAGCCTGTGTAACCACCATTTTTGATATGTAGGCTAGTGGATATAATTCTGCTTTTTGTGATAATTCCTGGGAAAAGGTAGAGACAGGTGGATCTTTGGAGCTTACTGACTAGCTAGCTTAGTCTAAACTAAGATCTCCATGCCAGAGAAAGACCCTGTCTCAAAAAAGCATGGCGGATGGCACATGAACAACAAGCCCCAGGGTTGACCTTTGACCTCCACATTCACATCCACACATGTCCCTATCCAATTCTACAACATGTACACGTACACACATACATACAGAGAGAAAGAGAATAAGGGGTGGATTTTTCTTTGATTAATTCTTTTTGGTAATTTATTTGGATATGTAGGAAATCTGGGAAATTTTTGTTAGAGTCCCACAATTCAAGTATGTGAAGATATTCTGTTATGTTTTGTATTATTTCTTATTGATGGAAAATATTAAAAACAGAATAATTAATATACTTCTTAGGTAAAAAGTATACCTTAGTATGTATGGCCCTCATCAAAGATAATGATTTTTTTTTTCCATACAGAGGTACTTTGTATGGAATTTAATTATGCATGTCTTACAGTCTGTTGAAGTTACTTCATCGTGTCTGCTCTCTTTAAAGAAACTTTAAAAACACACTGTAATTTAATGCAGTAGTTAAAATAAGGGATTACTGAAAAAGTAATGATTCCCAAACTAAATGTAGCTTAAATAACTTAGCTGAGAAAAGAATATGACCCACTAAGAAAGACTAGGGGTATTCATCCTGATTCCTCTACTACTCTGCTATTATTACTGTGTGTTAGGTAAAGAAGTCCTGGGTTTACAGAATAACAGGGTGTTAAACATTTAGTGAGCCAGCAGAGGAGGCCTCACAAGCCAATGCTGTCTACCTACCTGACATTACTAAATCAGTGATGTCATCTACCACTGCCTTACATGTTCCACATGTAAGGAAGAGTGAAGTCATTCATTTGGTATAAGTCACTTCCCTAAAAATAGCTGCAATAACACAATAACAGGGACTCTATTTTATATTACTGCCCCTCATGATTAAATTAAAAAAACTAAACTTTTATTTAAAACTGACATTACATTCACAACAGTTGCAAATATAGTAAAAAACATTCCCAAATATTCTTTACTTGGTTTCCCCATGTATTAATATCCTATATATCTATAGCACAGTGATCTAAATCAGGCAGTTAACATTGACACAACAATCCTTACTGACATTTGACCTTATTCAGATAATATTAGTTGTTTGAGGAATGTCTTCTGATCACAAACTGACCCAGGATTACACATTGTATTTAGTGGTCAAGTGACCCTCCTCATTCCAGGGTGTCTTCTGGGTCTTTCATGATCTTGACAATGGAAAAGTAGTGACCAGTTATTTTTTTTTTACAATACTCCTCATTTTGACTTTTCCTTATATTTTTATGAGTAAATTCGGGTTATACATTTCTTACCTGAATATCAGAAGTGATACTGTCCACGTGTATATGCCTTTTGGATTTTTATTGAAAGTGTGCACTTAAAGCATAGCAGGGTCAATTTACAGAAGGGGAAACTCTAAGAACTGTGCTTGGGGTTCTGGAATTTTAACAAAATACATTGATATTTTTATGGCTTGGACTCCTGAGCTGCATCTTAATCAGAGGCAAGCACCCTGGCTCACTGGGACAGGTTGCTCTTCTGAACAGTTGTTTGTAAAGTTGTAACAGTTTTGTGCTTGATCTAAAAGCAGAAGTATAAGAGAACAGAAAAAGCAATCCTTCTGCCAGGTGTTATTGAGTAGATGGAACCTGTTCTCATATTACTCAAGATTTTAGGTACCAGCTGTGCATGGTGGTACATACCTGTAACCCTATCACTCAGGAGGTCAAGACAGGTGTATGAGTTCAAGGCCAGACTGGCTATGTAGAGGGTGCTAGTCTAGTCTAAGGTGCATAGTGAGATTTTTGTCTCAAAATATATTAAAAACAAAACAAAAAGATTTCGGTAACCACTATTGTTTTAGATACTTACAACTATCTGATATTTGGTGTATTTAGAAAATGTCCATGATGCTATCAGCAAGCTCCAAGGAAGTTACATTTCTGCAGATGAACTTCAGTCAACTTTACCCTCAGTAGGGATTGCTTTATCAGATAAAGACTTCCAGAAGATTATGCCAAAGACTACTAAAACTGGTGAGAACTTGCTAAGTCTAAACTTTTGAGAAAGTTAGTACTTTTGTGGAGTTAAAATGGCGGAGAGGGGAATTTCTCTTCCTGAGGAATGGAATGGAATGGGCCATTCTAAAGAATAAGAAAGAACAGATATGGAGTTGTGGGGATGACTCGGTGGATAAAGCTCTTGCTGCTCAACTCTGAGGACCAGAGTTCAGATCCCTCCAGCCCCACAAAAGCTGAGTAGGCATGACAGTGTGTGATCACACACACACACACACACACACACACACACACACACACAACACTACACCACCTACACACTACACACACTCAGAAAAAAAACATAAAAGTGGAAAAAAGATAAAACCAATCTAGTCATTTGCATATAATAACTATTAAATAAACAGGGACTATATCCTACTTATTTTTGTGCCCTTGGTAACTGGTTTATGGCACTAATATGCTTTCAGTGGCTATTAAAATAATAGGTGTGTGTTTGTGTATGCATGCATGTAATAACAATTAGTAAACAAAATTGTCGTTGGTTGTTTTTACTCTTTACTTTCTTGGGGCCTGCCACCCAGCTCCAAAATAAATAAATGGAGACTTATTATTTCTTATAAATGCCCTGCCTTAGCTTGCTTATTTCTAGCCAGATTTTTTTAAAATTTAAATTATTTCATCTACTTTGCTTCTGGGCTTTTATCTTTCTTTATTACTTTTTAAAATTTAATTTATTTTTTACATGTCGATCCCAGTTCCCTCTCCCTCCCTTCCTCCCTTCCTCCCTTTTACTCTCTCTGCCCCTTCACATGCACCCTGTTCACCCTCCCCTCCCCCCCCAATTCACATGTAGGGCAATGCCATCCAGGTGGGGTCATGGAGATCTGACCGGTCATTTGAAGTAGGGACTAGGACTTCTCTCCTGTCTTTAGGTTAAGGCAGTATCCCTCCATAGTGGATGTGTTCGCAAGGTCCTTTTGTGCACCAGGGATACATCCTGGCTCCACTGTCTGAGGTCCCTTAGGCTGCTCAGTCCTTCTAGCTGAGACCCATATTCGGGGGTCTGAGTCAGTCCCATGCTCGATTCCCAGCTATCAGTCTGGGAGCCTGTTAGCTCCTCCTTGTTCAGGTCAGCTGTCTCTATGTGTTTCTGCTTGTCCTCTCCATCTGCATTTAGGTTCTAGTTTGACTCAGTGTTTAGGTATGGGTGTTTGCTTCAGTTTCCAACAGGTATTAGATGAGGGCTCCATGGATAAGTTAGTTGTTTATCTCACTATCCAGAAAGGGCATTTATGGTAGCCTTTCCATGGATGCTCAAGTTGTTAGTTGGCGGCTCTTGTAGGTCTCTAGACCTTTCTTTGGGTTCAGTTTTCTCTTCAATATCTTTCTCTATTCTATATAACTTTCTTTATTTCTTACTCTGTGGCTTGCTGTGTAGCTGGGTGTGTGGCCTCTGGAGTACTCCTCTCCTCCTCTTGCTCCTCGATCTTCTCTTCCCAGATTTCTCCTCCTATTTATTCTGTCTTTCAGCCCTGGCTGAAAGGAGTCCTTTCTCCTACCTAGCTATAATGACTTTCTTCTCTTTATTAGACCAATCAGGTATTTTGGACAGACAAAAATAACATAACTTCACACAGTTAAACAAATGCAACATAAAAAAATGCAACATATCTTTGCATCATTAAACAAATGTTCTGCAGTATAAACAAATGTATCACATCTTAAAATAATATTCTGCAACATAAAAGAGGCCATACATTTGAAGGACATTGGGAAGGAGTACATGGGAAGGTTTGGAGGGAGGAAAGGAAAGGGGGAAATGTAATTAAATTATTATCCCATAAATTAAAAAAGGGAAACAATGATATGAACTGACCTAATTCAGAAAGACTAATTTTAGGAGAGAGTGTGTGTGTAAAGGCAGAATAGGATGGTGAAATTAATGATTTACTCTTAATTTAATAAAAATATTAAATATATCATACTGTGTAATTTAAATTTTTATTTTACAGAAAGTGGAATGGTGAATTTAGATGACTTTATTATGACAGTCTCCAAGGAGCACAATCTTCCTGAATGTGATGGTAGGTAGAATTTGATTTGAAATGACTTGGAGGAAGAGCAATTAGGTTGAAAAGAAGCTTGAACAGATGGCAGTGAACTTGCTTCTGTGGGGCCTGGTGGAGCGTAGCTCTCCAGTTCCCACACTGGGAAGGCTGAAACAAGAGAATGGGGAGTTGAAGGCCAAGCTACATAGCTTGCCTCCAACACAAACAAAACAGGTAGAGCACAAAATGAAACAAAACTAAGCCAAAACAGATAAGAACTGGGCTTGCTTTGAGATGGACACTCACTGTCACATTTTCTGAGGCTGTGACCCTTAGGCAGCTTAACAGCCAGCTTGTAAGAACTTGCCGTCTCAGGGTAACAACAAGTAACTTGCTCATCTCATAGAGTTGTCATCTGAATTTTATAAACCCCAAGTGCTACATACAGTCCAGCAATGCAAGTGATAGCAAGAGAGCAAATGCGTAATTAGCATCATTGGTTAGGAATTAATTTTTGACTATTCATGAAGAACTTATTTGAATGAAATATTGATATAGTTTACTTTTGATTTAGAACATTTTGTGAAGCACTTATTAGGTTATAGTTTATACATATAATATTGACCCACTAACTGATTTTTAAGTAAATTTATAAAGTTGTGCAATGGTCACAACAATCCGGTATTGTTTTAATTTTGTTTATTTTTGCTTGTAATTATTTTTTTATGCAAATAGTTTTTGAAGCAAGACTAAAATATGAGATAAAATACTTTATCTGGATCTAACATGTGAGAAAAACCTACTTCATTTTTTTTCAGTGTATGAGTATGTTATTTTTCCAGATCTCACTTTTTCTTCAAATGATTTATGATACCTCTCCTACTTAAAAATTTAAAATTTTATTAGCTCTTTGAGAGTTTAATAGATGTGTTTTGATTATATTCATCCCACACCAACTCTTCTCAGATCTACTCCACTTCACCCCTTACAGACTTTGTATCTTTTTTTTTTTTTAAGAAAAAAATCCCTCAAGACCAATTTGTGTTGCCTAAAGATTTTTGGATGTGTGGTACTCCACTGGAGCATGGGTATCTCACTAAAACTACTCTTAGAGAAAACTGTGTCTTCATCCCCTAGCAGCTAACATTTTGTCAGTAGATCCATGGCTAGTGATGGGAGATGTTATTCTGTATATGTTTCTCTTATTGGTTGATGAATAAAACACTGATTGGCCAGGCAGAAAGATAGGTGAGGCTAGGGGACAAGGAGAATTCTGGGAAGTGGAGGCAGAGGTCAGACATCATGTAGCAGAGGATGGAGTAAGAGGTTCGGACCCTTCTCTGGTAAGATAAGACCACATGGAAATACTTAGATTAATAGAAATGGGTTAATAATTAAGACAGAACTAGCTGATAAGACACCCTAGTCACTGGCCAACAGTTTCATAATTTAGAGTGTCTGTGTGTTCATTTGGGGCTCAAGGGCTGCGGGACCTGCTGGGCCAGAAAACTCATGCTTACAGCCAGGGGTGGGCTTGTGTACTCGCTTCTGTCTCGACTGGGATTTGGCCTGGCTTGGGCTTGCACAGGTTTTATGCATGCTGCCACAACTGCTGTGAGTTCATAGGGGCAGCTGCCCACTTATGTCCAGAAGACACTGTTTGCTGTAGTCGTCCACTGCCTCTGGCTCTTACACTCTTCCATCCCTTCGTCCACAATGATCCCTGAGCCTTGGGAGGAGGGCATAGGTATACATGCTCCATTTAGGGCTGAGCAGTCTCAAATTTCTCATTCTTTGCACCTTGGCCAGTTCTCTGTGTCGACTGCCATCTGGTCTATCAACCTCTTTAAAAACTATGTATGTATGTATGTATGTATGTATGTATGTATACATACAATAATGTTTGCTTGGTTTTTTTATTAATTTCTTTTTTCTCACTTTTATTAGTTCTTTAAGAAATTCATACAGTGCATTTGTATCACATTTGCCCCTCGTACCATTCTTTCCAGATCCCCCCACACACTTGTACCCTTCCCTACTTACCCAAGTTGTGTCTATTTTTTTTTTTTTTTTACAAAAAATACTCATTAAATACAGGTGATACTGCCATATATACTCTTGGGTGTGGGGACTTCCACCGGAGCATGCTCAACCAACCCTTAAAGGAAATTTACTCTCCCTTTCTCAACTTCTGTCAATTGCCAATAACTCCTTAGCTAGGAGAAGTGCGGAGAATAAGGGACCGTGGAATGCTCAGCCCTAAATGGGCATCTTTATCATGTCCCCTCTTCACAAGGATCAAGGATGGGGAGGCAGAAAGAATATAAGAGCCAGAGGTGGTTGATGACTACAAAGAATGAGTGTTTTCTGGACACAGCAGAACAGTAGCACACATGAGCTAACAGCAGTTGAGACAGTATACTCAAGACCTGTTACAAGTTCAAGCTAGACAGAATCCCAGAATAAAGAGAGGGGGTAGGCATGAAAACCTGCATATTTTGGAAGAATTTCTTTTAATAACTATTTAATAGTCAGACATAATGGCATATGCCTTTAATCCCAGCACTTAGAGGCAGAGGCAGGTGGATCTCTGTGATTTCAAAGCCAGCCTGGTTTACACAATGAGATCCTGGACAGCCAAGGCTACATAGTGAGACTGTGTCTCAAAAAAGGAAAAGGAAAAAAAAAAGGAATGATTTAATTGAGGTGCTTTACATTTAACAAAGGAAAGGAAACACTGTCCAAAGTATTATTAAAGTGTAGATTTTCAGGTATTATAAAAGAGATACAGGATAATTATTTCTAAGTAATCATATTTGTATTTAAAGATTAAACTAAATGAATTTAGCATGAACCAAACTACACATCCCCACAAAATGCTATCTTGATTGTCATTAAGGAAGGTTTTCTACTTATGTTTTTGCTAATATGAAATAAACCACCAAGGAATTTTAACTTGTTGAATTAAGCAGGACATTCTCACAAGATCATGTTTTCAGTGGTGATATTGTCAATGTGATTAAGTTGGCATTTCTTAGGTGTAGAAATCACATAGCAAAGTAGAATATTGTTGACTGATTCTGATACTTAATGATTTTTAGCACCAAAAAGTTAGGGTCTAGAGATATAGCTTAGTTGGTAGTGTGTTTGCCTGGTGTGCATGGTGTTTGATCCCCAGCATTGCAGAAAGCATGCATGGTGATTGAATATCAGAAGTTCAAAGTTATCCTCAGCTACAAAGGGAGTTTGATGCCCTGTCTTCAAACAACAAAACTTGAACAAACAAAACTCCTTAAAGCATTCTGATTATGCTGTTACTATGCAACACGTCTGAAGTGATTTGTATTTTTGTTTAATGATGGACCTAGCATTTATCTTAATGCTTGTGTTTTTTTTTTGCTTGAATTTTTTACTGAATTCTAATATGAACAAATTTATTTTCAGCATTGAATGATGCCATTGAAGCCGTTAGCAAAATTCAGGATGAAAATATTGCTTATGAAGATCTTGATACTTGTCTTCAAAATCTTGGAGTTTATCTTCCTAAGCCAGAACTAAAGAAGATCAAAGAATTAATTGAAGCTGATGGTAAATGATAAAATTCAAGGAAACTATTTTTCTCAGAATAATGACTTTTTTTGTTAGAAAAAGTATTAAATCAATAAGGGAAATGGGAACAATAAAATCAAAAGTACAATTTAATGCTCAAAATTCATCATCTAGAAATAGGCGGTGTTAATCATCTTTTCAGGTACTTTTCCCTAGGTAAAACTGCAAAGAAACAGAAAACAGAGTTTTGATCTTGCTCCCTGATAAGATGGAAGTCAGGACACAAGGCATTGAAAGGGTGAAGGTGCCTCCCTCAATCAAAGCTGTCTACTCATAGTGAAGGCTTACAAGTGCCCATGCAACTGAGCAAGAATTTTCCTTAAGGGACAGATAGAGGTGGGCTAGTCAAGTAAATGAGGTTCCATATGGATGAATAGTTAGTAGCCATTGTTTTTAAGGACACTGTATGAGAATTCATTATAATGTTCTTAGTTGTATGTATTTAAAACCTTCATAATAAAAAGAAGTAGAAAATGTAATCTGTATAAAACTTCTATGGAGAAAATATAAAGGATGGTTTGAATGGGAACATGTGCTATGCTGGTAGGTTCAGAGACTGAAACCAGTCAGTTCTTCCATCCAATGCTAGTTAGCTTTTGGGATGAACTGAGATCTGGGATACTGAGGGTGCTATGGCCATACCTAATACTGTCATTTCTCTAATTTGTCTAAAGAAATTCCAACAAGATTCAGATTTTTATGAGCCAATTCTAATATTTGTATGAATGAACAGAGTCCCTGGACCATGTGTGCAGGAGGTGTGCAAGTGTAGATGTGTTTTTCTTGAAAGCTTATTGCAGCTATGATAGTGTCTGTGAGACAGGTACAGGCAAAGAGAAAGTGATGGAAGGCAAGATAAAGAACTTCTAGGCATTCATGAGCATGCATGAACAAAATGAGATGCCAGGTGAAAGTAACACTACTGTGCACTATTTTGAACATCTTTCTATTAAGTACTTGGTTTTTGTTTCTACACTGAATTGCCTTTTCTCTTTCTAAACATATATTTTAGTGATTTGTAGTAAATGATGGATGTCTTCACATAATTCAGTATTTGTCATAATAATTTGGTACTTGAAGATACTAAAGACAATGTTTCTCTTTCATTTAGAAACAAAAAAAGTGAATTTTAAGGAATTTATTGATACCATGATGAGCAACACAGAATCCTTCTCTGAAAATTTATGTACGTATGAATGTTACTGACATGTGATGCTTTTTGTGGACCAAGTAGTCTGAAAGATTTTAGAAGATAAAAAGCTTTTATAAGATACTAAAATAATTAGTTATCTGAAAGATCATCAAGCAATGACTGCCTAACTTTGTTGCTGACTTTAAAAAAAATTTACTTATGTATTATGTACACAGTGTTCTGCCTGTAATGCTGTCCAGAAGAGGTCACTATAATGCATTACAGATGGTTGCAAGCCACTATGTGGTTGCTGGGAATTGAATTCATGACTTCTGGAAGAGCAGTCAGTGCTCTTAACCACTGAGCCCATCTCTCCAGCCCAACTGCCTAAATTTGTGCTGCTAAGTGTGGTTGTAATCTTTTCATTACTGAGTCCTAATTCTAGAATAACGTCTACACGCAGGTGATATGAGAGCTAATATAGCCTTACTTTGACCTCCATATTTACAGTAGACAGAGCTACGTGTGCTACATCTACTTGGGGGGGGGGGATTGAAATGCCTTCTCGCTCTGAGAAAGTGATGCTATTTAGAATTTGATAACAAATATGCAGAGTTTCTGGTTTTCAGCTATTTTACCAGCATTTCTTTCAGTATTCTAATCTACTTAATGACATTCAAGAACCGTTAATATGTACCAGGCTTTATGTTAAGCTGCCAGTAAGTGAATATGAGCTAGAATTTGGCACTGTGGAACTCAGCGTAGGGAAAAGTAAGGCTATAATGTCTATTTAACAATATTTAATTGTATGTTGGTATATGTTGATATGTTGGTGTCTGGGGTGAGGGCTGGGTATGTGATACATGTGCATGGTTCCCTGTGGAGGCCAAAAGCAGATGATGGATCCCCTGAAGCTGTAGTCTCATGTAATTGTGAGCTGGTGACATGGGTGCTGGGAACCGAACTTGGGTCCTCTAGAAGGGCATGGCATGCTCTTAACTGATGAGTCATGTTTCCAACCCCATAACCATCTATTTTTATGGTCTGGCATTAGTACTTTAAACATTGTGGCTGGAGTTATGTTATTTGATGCTTATATATTGAATGATAGTGGATTTTAGTTAAGTTATTCTTAGCTTATAGTTTTCTTCTATATTAGGTTGTACAGTGGGTAAAGATGAAGGGATTATTTGTATTATCAGTCATTTCAATTTTTCCCTTAGGATTTTCACTGTCATGGAAGTTAATTTTTTCTTAGCACAGTTGCACAGTATATTTTAATTCATATTTTCAGCTTTATTTTCTGTGTGAGTCTTAATATTATATATTTATGTTTACTTTTCCATTTTTATCAGATTGCTTATTCCTCCCCCTTTTTAACTTTTCTTGATTCTTTGTGGCTTTCACATCACGTATTCTGAACCCAATTATCTCCCTGTCCCCTCAAATCTACCTTCTGCCCTTGCAGCCTGTCCCCTAAACAAAACACAGTTTAAAAGAAAAATTAAAACAAAACCAAGACAAAAAAAGGAAAAGTCTTGTTGTGGCAGCTGTAGTGTGTTCCATTGAGTCACACAGGTTATCCTTTAGTCCATTCATTTCTACTTGCAAGTGTTCCTTGCTGCGAGTCATTGGTCTTGCTTGAAGCCTCTGGCTTCCATACACCACTGGTAATGGACTTTCTCCAGGGCTCCTCTTGGCTATCCTGTTGTTGTCCTGTGTCATGGAGACCCTGCTGTTTGGATCCGTAGGTTTGTCCCCTTCACATGCCCCGATTAGTTCATAGGTGAGATGGATGTTGGGTGGGCCAGCTCCTAACCCTGGGCCTGAGTGGTAGCTGCATTGGTCAGCCCACCAGCTCTTCCTCACGGTCATCACTACCCAGGCAAGCTGTCCAGCACTGCCAGGAGCACATCCAGTGCAAGGGCCTGTCTTCTTACCGGTTCTATAACCCTTACATTGTGACTTCAGTCCTTCTACCCTTGCAGTACCTGCTCATTTGTGCTCTTCTTATCTGATTTAAACTGTCTGATATATGTTTACACAATATCCTAAAATATCTAGCCTTTCTGTACTTCATTGGAACCCATGCAATGAAACTTCTGACTCTGCACGAGTCTGATTATATAATTAGCTTATTTCCCACTCTCTGAAACAAAATCCCCATTTTCTTCAACTTCCAATCCTATTCCAGCTCCTACCCTTCTCAGGTTTAGCTTCTGGCTTTGCCTTCATATGAAAAATAGATTATCTCAATTTTGATCCTATTAAGGTATTTCCCAGTGCCATCTAAAAGCTTCAAGTCTTTCTTCAATTTACTAGAAATTGCTTTTTGCAATAAGTAAGATCTGGGTCCAACAAAACATTTTTCTCATAAGGATAGTGAACTGTGCTAAATCTTGGTTTAGCATTATGTGAATACCATTCATAGATGGTATTCTTGGGCTTTAATTTATCAGAAAATGTTTTCCCTAGTCTAGTTCTTAGGTAGAATTTAAGCTTTTTACTTAATTCCTGAAAAAAAGTAGCAAAGGGCTAGCCTTGGTGGCATACACCTTTAATCCCAGCATTTGTGAGGTAGAGACAAGTGGATCTGTATAAGTTCAAAGCCAGCCTGTTCTACATAGTATCAGGACAGTCAGAGCTACAAAATGAGACCCTGTGTGGTAGTTTGAATGCAAATGTCCCCTATAGTCTTATAGGGAGTGGTGCTATTAGAAGTATGGCTTTGTTGGAGTGGGTATGGCTTTGTTAGAGGAAGTGTGTCACTGTGGAGGCAGGCTTTGAGATTTCCTCTTCTCTGGATACTGCCCAGTGTCTTAGTCAACTTCCTGTGGCCTGTATATCATGACGTAGCCAGTATCACATCTGCCCACATGCTGCCATGCTCCCCACTATGATGATAATGGAATGAACCTTTGAAACTGTAAGTGAGCCACCTCAATTAAGTATTTTCATTTATAAGAACTGCTGTGGTATGGAGTCTCTTCGCAGCAATAAAAACCCCACGACACCCTCTGTCAAGCAAGCAAGCAAACAAGCAAACCAAAGTAGTAAAGATACATTTAGTCCTAATTTCCAGATAGACTTTGTAAACATTTCGGTTATAACTATAGACTTAAATGTACTACATAGTAGCAATTCTAACTATTGTCTTATTGTTATTCATACATAGTGTTTATCATGCATTAGTATTAAGTACTTTTCATTACCGCATGAATTCCCATATTAATGCTATAATGTTTTCTAGAAGCGAAAAGGTACAGAGGTCTCCTTATCTTAGGCCTGATTAGTGCCACACACACTGCCATTACAATTAGACCTCGGGTAAAGCTGTGTTTTCCAAGCTTTATTGTACCATCCCACGAGCACACTCATTTTTGTCATTTGGTGCCCCCCCCACACTTGAGCTTCATATTCACTTGTGTAGACACATACGGAAGAGTCATTTTTAATCAGCTTTCCCACTTTGGCTTCAATGCCATACTGCCCTTTCTTCTCGTCTATCCCATTGCTTTGCTTGTTTGAGATGAGGTCTATCATGTTTCCCAGACTGGTCTTAAACTCCCCAACCTGGCTTCAGGTGATTCTCCTGCCCTAGCTCCCTGGGTACTGGTCACACGTAGACATGTGCCAAGGTGCTTGGCCATTCCCTGGAACTTTTATTGGTGTTTTAAAATGTGGTATAAAAACATTTTTTATGGATTCGTGAAGCAAAACCTTGCTGTTCCTAGTCTACAGTTTTTCCAATGGTTTGTTGGAATATATATATATATATATATATATATATATATATATATATATATATATGGTGATAAGATTGGGTCCAAGTTTTGAAATGCTAAACTACATCTCCAGCCTCAGTCATTCCTATAAAAAGATGCATTATTCCATACTAGCTTTCTATAAAAACTTAAGGTTCATCTTGCTAATTCAGTTTCATCTTCATTTTGTTAACCTTTTAATTCCTGTTGCTTCTTACCACCCTTAACTCTAACTCCAGGGCACCTGACACCCTCTCCTGCCATCTGTGGGCACCTTCGTGCAAACTTGTACCCCTACACATACACACAATTAAAAGTAAAATCTTAACCTTTATTGGGAACTCAGATTTCTAGTCAAGGAAAATTGTGGGATTTTTGTGGTGTTGAGGATTGCTCTCAGGCCCTTGAGTATACTGGGAAACTACTCCACTGATCTGAATTCCCAGTTAGGAAATTATTATTATTATTTGTAATTACCCAGGGATGAGGGAATATTTTCTTGAAACAGTTCAGAAACTTCTAAGATGTATTATAACAGGTTAGATATTTTATTGTGTTTTGATGCTCATTTATGCTATATTTGATGTTTATCTTAGCCCCCAAATCCTTAATTGTTAACTTCCAAATAATAGTTTCTTTTTTTTTAATTTTATTTAATTTTATATAACAGTCCAATTAAATGAAAACAAACATTTATACACAATATTTGGGAATTTGGGCGTCGTTCTTTCCAAACTACTTCCTGCTGGTAAGGGGCGCTGTCTTGGGGGATTCGAAGAAGATTCAGATATCCTGGCTGTAGTCTGTAGGGCTGTTTTGTCCAGCTGTTTTGAATGTAGGATCAGCTTGTACTCTGTTTCAGGCGGTCTGGCGTGATCAAGCCACATTAGTCTGGAAGGAATCCACATCTTTTCATTTTCTGTGGAAACAAAAATAGAAACCCATTTCCCCAGTAACTTGTCCTTCAACTCTGGCCAATAGCCGGCGGAAGAGGACAAGGGCTGAGCTGGAACTTGAGAAGGTTTTGCAGGGTAGTCGGACCTCACTGGAAACTGGCGCTCTCCAGCTGAGACCTCGTTCTTTGGCAGAGGCCAGGATTTGGGGGTCAAGGATCTTGTCCGCAGGAACTCCCAAATAATAGTTTCTTGTATTGGTATCTTGAATAAATATATCATGAAGCTTGTGTTTTTGTCCGTGGTTTAGTGTTGGCGAATGCTATTGAGACCCTCCACAACCTCAGCAAGGACCAGATGGATGTTTCTCACTTGTGGGACACACTGTCTAGTTTGAATATTTATTTAAAAAAGGATGAATTATTAGATGCAGTGAAGTTAGCAACAGTTGATGGTGGGTATTCCAAATAGTAAATTAAGAGGTAAAGAAAGTTTAGTGTCTGCTTTTAGTGATAAACAGCCAAACAAATACAAAGTGGGGACCTCACTGTGCATTCAGCTTGCGTTTCTGTTACGCTCACGGTATGTTTCATACAGCTGTGAGCTGCCTGTGTGTTTTCCTGAGGGAAATATTTATTCAAGACTTTCACCCATTTAAAAAGTAGGTTGTATTTTTCTTGCTGTAAGTATTTTGAGTTCATTATATATTTTAGATAGTAGCCCTCTTATCCAATGTGTGATTTGAAAATATTTTCTTTCAATTCATGAGTAAGTGGTTGCTAGCTTCCTGCCCATAGTGTGTGTGTTTCTCTCTGTCTTTCTCTTGCTCCCTCTGATTATTGTTCTGACTACCCTTTTTACTTTGATGCTCTTCTCTTTGTCTATTTTTCTTGGGTCAGCTGTGCTTTCCAGGTTATATCCAAGAATTATCTGCCTAGAACATATGTCATGGAACATTCCCTCTGTTTTTTTCCCCAGCAGTTTTATAGATTCATGAGGGGTTCTCTGCAACCTTCATGGCCAGCAGAGTGACAATCTGCAGCAGAAAAAAAAAAGACAGTTCATCTCAGTGTGACTCAGGTAGCAGTATTGAGTCAAACACTCCACAAGTCAAACTCCAGAACTGATTCCAAGTGGTGGTTCGTTTTAGCTATGTTTAAGCACCGCACAATTTGGTGAAAATTATCCTGGTGATAATTAACTGAATACTGCATGGACAACAAAGCATCCATAAATGTCCTTAAGGAACAAAGAAATCTAAACAAAGTTCAGACATGACTCCATCAAACTTTTTGTAAAGTCCATAAAGATAGGCTCTATAGATTGACTGAGGAAAAACAAAGTTATGATAAGGGCCTGGGAGACGGTCCAGTGCTGGAAAAGTATCCACACAGATAGTGCAAAGAAAGCATGTCAGCTCCAGCCTTTTGGTTGGATAACAGGATTTGCATTCCTTCCCTTGAAGGAACAAACCTGTGGCCTTAGCATTCCAGGTTTCCCTACTGCTTATCTGTGAGCACAAAGACCTCCATGCCTCCTCCAGATTCAGATCTCAGTGAGGTGGAGTGTCTAATGGCTGAAATGATAATACCTACATTTAGGAACTATAAAGAAAATTCATATAATTTGGCTGTTCTGTATAAAACACCAGTATCTATTTTTTATTTCAATACCTTCATGTTGTATAGTGTGTTAACAGTAAGTATGTACTACCTAGCAAGAACATGTCTTTAAAAAAAAGATAAAGTATTTGTTCAGATTTTATGGTAACATCTTGTTGTTTTATTAGTCAGGATAGCTGACAGATTCAGAGGCAAAGTCTTTGTAGTTAGGTAGATTCTGGATATTTCTATGAGAAACAGGAAAATGTACTGTTGTAAAGGAATGCAATTTTATTATATAGTTCCTAAGAATTCAAGTGCTAATTTAAAACATACGGTGGATAAAAGGCAAGATATCATATTTGTAGCTATATTTGAAACCTGTAAAGTAGGATTTTGACAGCTTGGGTATGCACCTTGCTGGCCTCTGTGCTTTGTTCTAGTTTGCAATCATCAACTACAATAATTTCAAGTCTCCAATCTAAGCTTCCTCACTGGTGGTTAGGAAATAAAGTTGCTTCTGTCTCCCATGTTTGTCCCTTGACAGTAGTCTGGTGCTTGCATGCTCTTGCCTAGGTAAAAGGGTGTTCTTGGTCCTGTCAGACTTTTATGTTCAAAGAGCCTTTCAGGTTGTCTGTCACAGAAGTTTTTCCTTCAAACAAATCCTAAACTAAGGCTGAGGCCTAGCTTTTATTATTATTTAGGACTCCATTTGCATTTTGTATGACTACAGATCATATGGTTTCTCTTAAATGATGGAAATTGAGAACTCAGTTTAAATTTTATAGTCTTTGCACTCTTTCCATAAATCAACCTGTTACTAAAAATATGATTCTTAAGCATATATCAGATAATTTACATTTTATAGGTTGCTTCATTGGCTGACTTTTGCTTAATGGGGATAACGTAATAAAATATTTTTTTCCCTCAAAAGATGATAAAGTACAACTTGAAGAATTTTCAAAAGTAGTAAAGGACACGCGGGATGCCCTCAGGGTAAAAGGTAAATATGGGTTTGGAGTGGGGTGGGAAGATGGCTCTGCAGAGAAAGTTTTGCCGTATTCACCTGAGAATCTGAGTTTGGGTCCTTAGAACACATGGAAATGCCAGGTAGACTGCCTGTAATTCTAACTCTTAGAAGGCAGAGACCTGGGACACTCAGAATCTAGCCATATTGATGAACTCTGATTTCAGTGGAGAGATCCTGCTTCAATGAATACAGTGAAGAGTGATTGAGGAGACTCATCACTCAACCTGGACATGCATGCACATATATACCCCTGCATCTCCATAGGAGTATACACGTATGAACACACATGCAAGCATACCACACACATTCATTGAGTAGGAGGGGGAAAAGAGGATGAGGAGAAAGAGGAGGAGGAGGAGGAGGAGGAGAAGGAGGAGGAGGAGGAGGAGGAGAAAAGATATCGGAGCTGCGATTGTAGCCTGGTAGAGCCCCTGCCTAATGTGCACTGAGATCCTGGACTCCATAACCCCAGTGATAGTTAAGAAAGAAGAAAAATGAAGGTAAGTGAATTATTTGTAACTGTTTAAACTGGTTTTTTTTGATAATATGCTTTGATTTCTAGCTAACACATTTGCATTGTTCTGGTGGAAGGCAGGCAAAGCTTAGTTTGATTAGAAATTGGCACTTCTTTCAGAAGAAAAAAACTATTAAAAACATTTACAAGATATTTTAAATTCCACCTTCATTTCTTGGACTCTATGGGAAATCTGCTAGTTGGTTTTTTCTTTTTTTAAGATTTATTTTTATTTTGTGTGTGTGAGTGTGGTGCCTACTGATATGATCATGACGTGTGTGTCTGGTGCCTTTGGCAGTCCGAAGAGCACATTGGATCCCTTTGATCTGGAGTTATGGATGATTGTGAGCCACTGTGTGGGTGTGGGGAACTGAACTCTGGTCCTCTACAAAAGCAGTCAGTGCTCTTAACTGCTGAGCTATTTCTCCAGCCCCTGTCTTAGTTTTTTTTTTTTTTTTTTTAAGTTTTCCAGGTATTAAATCTACTGCTATTGTTTCCTTTATTAGACATTCCTCATCACCTTCCTGTAGTTCAATGGCTGTTTTTCTTTGCTATCTCTAATTTCACTTCCTTATCTTCACAATTAGGAAGCTAATAGCATCATGTTTATAGAACTGTTAGAGTCAAATGCAGCAATCCATGTGTAGCATAGAACCATGGTATTTGGAGTATGTTGTGTATTGAATAAAGAGTTACAACTTTATATCTAATTTTGAAACTAGGAGGGGGGCAGTGCTCTGAAAGATTGTTGCTCAGGACTGTTGACATTTTATAATTCAGGGAGCAAAGAAAACTTAGTCACAAAGTGCTGATGTTGGTTGGGCACCTGAACCTGAGAGATGGCCAGAGAGATGAGGATGGCATTACCACCCAGTGCAGAAGACGGCTGGGAACTTCTAGGAAGGGTTGTAAAGGGCAAGAAAGAGTTAATACAGTGGAATTGAGGCTGCTATCTTTAGAAAAGCCTATTTGGAAGTTTGCTGGCATATGGGAACTTAGCTTCCAGAATGTTCTCTCCATTACCAACTTACTATACCTAGACTACTTATGGGAGAGCATGGAAGCATCAGAGAAGAGTGTTTGTAAGTTTCTATGCTTTCCTTCAGTATGCACACATAAAGGTTTACAATGATGATGATACTGATGCTGTGTGTGTGTATGATAATGTTTGTGTATGATATATATATATATATATATGCATATGGGCACATATATGCTACAACATGTGTGTGAAGGTCATAGGACAACTTTCAGATGTTGATTCTCTCTTTCCTCTTGGAGTTCTGGGAATTTAACTCTGGTTTTCTTCAAGCTTATGTAGCAAGCGCCATTACCCACTGAGACCCTGAAGTCAGGATTTCATAATTAACAATGGACTGCACAGACAAAAGTCTTTATTATTCTGTTTTGATAAACCAGAGCTCAGTTCAATTATCAAAATGTCCTTTAAAATATATATTTCTAGAGTTGCAGGAGATAGCCTTAGCTCTGAATTCGGTCAAAGGTGAGAAGGTAGCTCGGGAGAACTTGGAAGATTTTCTAAAAGATCTTGGGATTACATCATTTAAAGACGAAGTGGAGAAAATCCTTGAATCAGACATTGTTTCTGGTGAGCATTTGCACTATTTTCAGTGTTTATAAAGTTTTTTGGTTTGTTTTGTTTTGGTTGGAGGACCTGCAGAAGTGGTGTGCATGTCTAGAGATGTTTGGTTATGTTTCTGAAAGTTTTATCTTTGAAAAAGGAGTTTTCCTTTAAAAGTCTATGCTTTTGCAGTTATAAGAATAAACAAGCCTTTTAGATAAACAAGCCTTTAAAATAAACAAGCCTAAGTTTTGTGGGGAGCACCCTTGTTAAAATTCTCCTGCTTGCAAATGCCTCGTTCCTTTCAGTGAAGAATGGCTTGAGAATTTAAACTGAGTAGCAATACTGCTTTCCCACTGGGCCAAGTGAAGTTACCGGCCCTTCTTGGCACTTGAATTCCATTTTGGAACTGGTATGTCTGCAGCCTTGTAGGGCTATGGTAAGAAATAACAGTTGGCAAAAAGAATCTAGAAGTACCTTGTAAATAAATATTTAAAAAATAAGCATTTTAAAATGTTTATTTTGATGTTATGTTTTGAAAATCACTTTGCTAAGGAATTCTTACATTTTACTTCTCTCTCTGTGTCTCTCTGTCTCGTCTCTCCTTTCTAGAAGGCAACATGGTGAATGTTAAAGACTGCATGGAAGCTTTGAGAGACACTCAGAAATTTTCTAACTTCACAGGTAAGAGCTTTTCGGGAAAACTTACAAGGCAGCAACACTTGGAGTTGTTTAGAGGTCGTTTAGTCAAGCATCACATTTAATGCTTGCTCTACCTTCATGTTGTGATTTGTCCCCCTTAAACTCTGTGTGTGAAGTGAATGGAAACTCACCTGACTGTGGTGCCTAGAGGTGGGACCTTAGGAACTGATTAAGACTTGACAAGCTCAGCAAGAGTAGAGCCCTCATGATTGGCCCCTGGGGGCTCTCTCAGGGAGCTTTACTCGCTGAGCATGCTCTCAGCCCGTTTTCTAAATATTTCCAGTTGTGCGTTGATCTTCCCCTTGATCTAGAAGTAGCTTAGGAGGTAATCTTAAACCCCACAGTGCTATCGCTCCACTGCTGCCCATGCTTGTCAATTCTAGTTTTAGATTGCTGAGCTAGAGAATGAGGTCTCCAGCAGGGACCTAACACTTCATTAGTCCATTAAAAGCCAAGTTTCAGAAACTCCTGTTTTTTATCTTATGTGCACGTGTGTCAGGTCCCCTGGAACTGGAGTCACAGACAACTGTGAGCTGCATGTGGGTGCTGGGAATTGAACCCAGGTCCTCTGGAAGGACAGTCAGTGCTCTTAACTGCTGAGGCATCTCTACAGCCCCCTCAAAAACTTTTACGTGCTGGTTTAAAATCAAAATCAAATTATGTTCGGAGATAGGCTAATGACCCAGAAAAAATAACCCTATTAAACATGGCTACTTTTACATAAAATTTGAATAATTTATTATCTATTTCTCCCACTGAAATATTAGGGAAACTTTTTTAGACATATATTTTAGATGTAGGGATGCTTTCCCTCTGTGTTTTAATGTTTGTCTGTCTCTTGTTCCCTCTCTCTTTCTCTCTCTGAATTATAGGAGCTTATTGGCTGTAGGCTTCTTAGTTCAAATGTCTACTAAACTGGAGGAGATTAGGACTGTCTTCAGTGAAGTTAGCTGGCAGGAGCAAGGGAAACTGGAAGAGGAAGACTGGGTTTGGAGGATGCTTAAGGAGGAAAGGAACTTTAAACTGAAAAAGTAGTACACTCTTGTATATATTTTGAAACACTCTGTCCAAATCCTAGGCTTTACAAGATAGTTTTGAACATAAACAAGGGTTGTTCTCTTAGCATGATGGATTTCAAGTGTAAGCCTGGGCTGGGCAACATAGTTAGACTCTGAAAAAAAAATGAGAGGTGGGTCTATCTATAATGATCAAAGGATATAGATAGACAATGGTTAGCATGAAGAAGACTATCAGAGTGGGGTGGAGTGCTCTACTTACAAGGCCACATGTGGTTAGTGAGTGTCACACTGGATAGTGCAAGCTAAAAGAGGTCATGGATTTTCTTATTGTGCTCAACAGTTTAGATCCTCAAACTGAGTGAGGTATTGAATGTACTGAATATGTACATTGTATGTGTATTCTATATGCACATTTTCTGTACTTGTAGCATTGAAAGAGGCCATTGATGAGCTGGATTCCATGAAAGGAAGTTATCGGTATGATAAAGACAGATCTCTGGAGGGACTGGAAAATGTCGAGGGTAAGTTTTTAAGCAGACAGCCAGCAGCTTGTAATTAACATTTAGTTTACATTTTTTAAATTCAGGGAGTTCACCCATGGGCTTTCAGTTTTAACAGTTAACATTACTGTTTTTCTGATTTCCCCTAAAGATGGTTTTTCATTATGTGGTATGGGTGTGTATCCACAAGAGCAGGTGCTGGAGGAGGCCAGAGGCATTGGATCCCCCTAGATCTGGAGACACAGGAATTGTGAGCTGCCCCATGAGAACAGAACTGAGTACCTCTGCCCAGAGCATCTGAGGCATATCCTCAGCCCCTTTCTAAATATTCAGTCAAGGATTTCAAACTATTTTACCAGATACCAATTCATTCTTAAAAATTCCTAAATAATAGCATGAGCACATTGGAACACTATTTAGTATAGATTAGATTTTGAAATATATATTCATAGAGATCATTTGTTTGTTATTTTTTTGTTTTGTTTTTTTGAGTCAAAGTTACTCTATGTAACAGCCCTAGCTGTCCTGGTACTAGCTCTACAGAGTGGGCTGGCCTCAAACTCACAGAGAGCCACCTAACTCTGCCTCTCAAGTGGAGATGAAAAGTTTTAAAAGATAGATTTATTTTTATTGTACATGTATGAATGTTTGGTATGCAGTATGTGTGTGCCACAGGCATGTGCCTGTGGAGACCACAAGGGGCATCAATCTCCTGAAGTGGTGTTTCAGATACTTGAGAGACACTTGGGTTCCGGGAGTTGAACCTGGGTTCTCTGTAAGAGCTCTCAACCACTGAGCCATCTCTCCAGACCCTAAAGAAATTTTGTTATGAAATTAAATGCCTACGTGATCCCATGGGCTGCATTACAAACTGAGTCTCAGGTTATTTCACCATGCTGTGGTCTTCAAGCTGATGTTTATTTCTACATAAATTTCATTCCCAATTAATACATTTTATCTGTATTTTAGATGATCTTAGTACTATAATTTTTCCCTCATTCTCTTCTCCCTCATTCTTTCCTGCTTTTTCTCCTTCTCCGTTTCTTGTAAATGGCCATTAGGTAAAGCATTGTTGAATAATTTAATTGAAGCATGCTTATTTTGTAGCCAATTATCTGTTTATTTACAGTAAATTTACTTGATCATCTATATGGTTCTTAACTATATTTTGAAAAATATTAGCTGCAATCGAATAGAATTTTAGCATATATGTATATATATATATAGTAAAAAAATTTCCCAAGGGACAGCCAGTGAAATTGCTCAGTGGGTAGAGTAGTTTGACCACCACAGGCTTGTGCCTTGGCCCCTAAAATTTCCTGAGTGTAAATTTGGCACCCTAGAACAGTTTTTATTGCTAGAGTCAATGAAGAAGGACTACATCTAGAGAGTAGTGGCAATAGTCACAGCTAAGCATCCTCACCCTGCAGTATCTATGCCAGCACCCCTGCAATCAATGGTGATCCGAGCCAAAATGTTAATAGTGCTCAGGTCTAGAAATCTTAGAGTTAGTTACAAAATTGTTAAGCCCTACCATTTTAGTAAAGGTAGTTCATCATACCCAGACAAAAAATTAAGGTAAGTATGATGTATTTGTGTTTTAACCACCTTTTGTTTTAAGGAATACCCTGCTACTTATAAATTATCCTAAAGCCCTCTTCAGACCATTCACACAAATAGAGTGGGGTTGAATAGATATCTGTTCTTCTCTCAGGCACCTATAGGACAGCTCACAAATTCCACTTCCAAGAGATCCGATGCCCTCTTCTGTCCCTTGTAAGCAACAGCTACACCTGTGGTCACCGACATAAATGCCAGCAGAACATCCATACATATAAAATAATAAAAATGAAAAAAAAAAAAAAACAAAACCAGAATGACTTCTTTCCTATGATCTATCCCTCAAATAGATTTACACCTCTGTAGAAAGGATGTGGGTTAATGAGATAATTGCAACTGGTACGTAGAAGAAGTGCCGGGGTTAACAGCTTGGTAGATGAGAGAAAAAGAGAGGAAGGGAAGGGAGGAGGGTGAGAGATTGATTTCAGAGTAGTAAGTAAATACTGCATTGAACAGATGCCAGTAAAGCAGAGGCACCTGTCTTTGGGAACTGCCACATTTAAGGAGTGGGTGAAGGTGATCACAGAAGAAGCTAGAAAGAGTGAGAGTGAAGGATGAGACTATGGTTGTCTGAGAAGGGAACGGTTATCACCGATTAGTGTTACCAAGAGAAGAGCTTGACTTATCCCCTTGTCCAAGTAGGGAAGGTCAAGTGCCGTTCTTCCTTCATTGTTTCCCTCTGTCTACACTTTAGGTTTTATAGAAGAAGCTGTGTCTCCACACCTGAAATTGCCAACAGTAAGTGGTGAGTATGAACTTTATATTGATACGTATGTATATACACATATGTATTTCATGTAGCAAGAGAGATTTTACATGATTGTCAAATGCTGATGTGTTTCTAATGTATCTTGCCCAAATCTAGAATATGGTTGTGAGAGAAAATGTGGTATTTATTTTTCTCTGAGTCTGCATTTCTTCTCTTTACATAATTTCCCCTTTCCTACATTTTTTTTTCCTGAAAATGTCATTAAGCCCATTTTTCTTTACAGCTGAATACAATTCCACAGTATATAATAACTACGTTTTCTTTATCCATGGACATCTGGGCTGGTTCCATTCCTTAGTTGTTGTGAGTGAAGTCTTTGGGCAGGTGAGAGGTGTAGCTGGGTCACATAGATGGTCTATCTTCAGTATTTTTTTTTTTTTGACAAAACTCCATACTCTTTCCCATGGCATGCATGCCATAATCCTGTGGCATTACTTTGCACCGTTTATTTATTTATTTATTTATTTGCACCATTTATTTTGCAGTCTGTGTTTCTTCAGCTGTATTGCTTCTCCCCACCCCATCACAAATTCTGTACTTTCTTTTTACTCCTAAACATCTACATATTCTGCTTCTTGGCATATTCTTCCCTGGTTTGTTTTGTTCATTGATGTGCACTGGTGAGCCTGCTTCCTTGGAGGCATCTCTGCCTCATCTGATAGCTTAACCTAATTTCCTTTGTTGTGTGCTCTCATTAGTTCACTTCTGGTCCTCAGTACTTATTCCATATAAAAATAGCTGTTCATGGTTTTAATGATTTCATTCATGTTATTGCCTCCTATTTTCCTGGAAGTGCCATTGGCCTAGTGATAATTGTAGCTCCAGAATGCAATGAAATCTTGGCCCTTATCTTACTGTTAAGAAAAGTTAATGTTTATAGCTAATTAAATTTAGTATGCCAGATATTGTTTTGAATGTTTTACAATAACTCATAATCTTAAAATATTCATTGAATGATCTGCTTTATCTCTTTAGCTTTGTTGTTCATCATACTTGCATTTGTATTTATTCTGTAGTCATACTACTTATTATAATTTAAATTGCTTCAGTTTGCTTTTGGGTCCGTGTTTTTGTGTATACTATTTACTTTGTATATATTTCCTGTTGGACCAACTTACACACCCCCCCACACACACATGCAGGAGCTTGGCTCAGATGTCATATTCCATTTCATAGAGCCTTATTCCAAGTTTATCATGCACTAATGATGTGAGAATGTTATTCTGAGATTGATCTTGTGTACCCTTTCTCATAGCACCAATTATGTGATAGATTTTAATTATGTTTACAGAGATGGACGCATTGGTCTCTCTCCTTAAGGAATTTACAGGAAACACTTTGATAAGAGGGATTGGTTTTTCAGTATTGCTTGTTAGTAGCTATAAAATGGCTGTTAGTGGAAAGGATGTTGATGGTGGGTGTTTTTTTCCTAAATGACTTTCATGAAGGCTTGAATCCCTTTGTGTAACTTCAGAGTAGGGAAATATACACAAGTTTATTTTGAGGTTAAAAGACAAATGGTATAGATAAAAAAATTCAAAACACCAATGCTTAAAAATATACCTTATATTTTAAATTGTGTGAGGTAATAGGACTGCCATTTTGGCTATAGGGATTGTGGACAAAAGAACTTGGTTCAGAGAGGATATTGATAACTGATAATCTTACAAGGGGGTCCAGGTTCCTGCCCTTCATCCCTTTACAAATGACTATAGTTGTAAAGTGAACATTTAACTCCCCAAGTTGCTTGGCAGTAACAGAACATCCACCACCACCTTTTTGCCATAAACTTTTAACTTAAATATTGTTCGGCATAAGGAGATCATCATCATTACCATTAGAAAATATTTTCCTTCTACTAGAATTTTGGTTCCTGTAAATATTTAATACATGCCTTTCCCCATAGTGGGTTTTGGATGAATTGGTTTGTCTGTGTTCTTTTTTAAGACAGGTTCTCTGTTATGTAGCTCTGGCTGTTCTGGAACTCACTCTGTAGACCTCACTACTGGCCTCCAACTCAGTAAGATCCACCTGCCTCTGCCTCCTGAGTGCTAGGATTAAAGATGTGTGCCACCACTCCCAGCCCTTTATGTATTTTTTTTATAACAGTATGTTGTACATATTTATCTTTGTAGAGATCAAAGAAGCTGCTGACATCTTGTCACGTGTTGATAATGGCAAGATCACTGTATCTGACTTGCAGCATGCCTTGAAATGTTTGAATGCCAATTTAACAGAAGAAGACTTCAAAGAAGCCCTTGAGCACTGTGACACCAATGGTGAGATGTTATGCTCTTTTGTTCTTTGGTTCTTTTTGGCTTAAGAGTGTTTTCATTTTTCTTACTCCTAGGAAAGGTAGAATGTATATATGAGGTTAAAATGAGAAATAGAGTCATGCTATTGGAAGCTTGATTGACACAAGTCAGGGCCAATTCCACTAATTTACGCATTCATTGATCTATCTAATTGCTCGTACTCATCTGCTATAATATATACTTAATAGATAATTATCATTCATTGCCTACAAGTCTGAGTGAGGAAATATCATACATCATAGAAAGTATTTTGTCTCGATATGGAGTATTTTAGAGGAGATGCAACTTCACCTGTCCTTTGATATGGAGTGCTTGTCACATTTTGATTTTTAACCAAATAAAATAAAATGCATTTTGAAAGTGCAATTGTTTTGTTTGAGTAATTGTTTCCAGATGGCTCCATATTTATCCTTGTTATCTGCCACTGACTTGATCTCTTTTCATGAATTATATGTGAGATTATAAATTTGTGTGTATGTATACGCAAGTTTACTTTTAGAAAATGAAATAATTTGGCAATTTTCTAGAAGATGATAAGCTTCATAGATTTTAGGTTTCAGTTTGGGGATGTCTGTCTTTTTTTTTCTCTGGGAATCCTGTGAATTCTAGAATTGGAAATGCCTGCCTCACACAATTTGGTTATTGATTTTTATCAGATCCTCTAGATTATTTTTTAATCTGGGTCAGTTTTTATATGATTTGGTGATTTAGTCTTCCTTGTTTATACCAAGTCAGTGAATATTCCTTACTACCTATTTTTTTAAGATTTATTTTTATTTATGTGTATGTATGTATGTATGACTGTGTGAATGTATGTCATGTGTGGAGGTATCTGAGGAGACTGAAGAGGACATTGGATTCTCTGGAGCTGGAGTTAAGGAGGCTGTGAGCTGCTGGATATAGGTGCTGGGTACTGAAGTTACACCTTTGATTTTGCCACATCCAAGTGCTATAAATTTAGGAATTTCTCCTTTACCCCCACTGTGTGTCAGGTTGGGTGATTTAGGCCTCCTCCTTCATACTGAATCAGCAAACATACATCTTCCTTTTTTAACTTTAAGGATTTATTTTTATTTTTACTTATTGTACACACACGTGTCTGTGCACGTGTGTGCTACATGTGTACAGGTACTGGAGGAGGCCAGAAGTGGACATCAGATCCTCTGGAGCTGGGGTCAAGGTGGTTGTAAACTTCTGGACATGGGTACTGGGAATTGAACTTGGGCCCTATGAAGGAGCAGGAAGCATCACTTTATATATTTACTTGGTGTATGTCCTAACTCCCATTTTAGCATAGACTCAGGTCTTTTGTATGGCTCTGCATGAATATTTAGATAAATTTTCTAGTCATTTCTTGATTTTAATTTTATCTCCCAGATTGTTGTAGTGTTGCTACTCACTGTTCACTAGTTTATAGTACCTAGCTAATCTTCCTTATTTCCTTCACTCAGGACCCCAGTCATATATGCTGTCCCTTGGGGCTTATGTTAGGACTTTTCCATGTTACCCACATTGTCATTTCATTATAGTTTAGACTCTTTCACATGTCTGTGATTTTTGTATCAGTGTATGTATACATTTATAGTAACATTGCAACTCCTGCAATGAGACTGAATCATTTCAAATAACAGCCTCTAGAACTCCCCGAGGGTCTTATCATTTGAACAAGATAATTTCTCTTTGTTGTTTCCTTTTAACAGGAGGCATATTAATTATATACAAACATATAATGTTGTGAAAATTAAATGAATTAATACATGTAAAGTAAATATAAGGAATTAAAATGTTATTTAATATTAACAGTGAATCATAAGTGTTAGATGTTCTATTGAAATAGTTCCTATAATTTGAGAAGAGTGAATGAAAATGAGTTTTATATTATTATTATGAATCAGAATTTTAATTTCATGTGCTGATTAAATACAACATTTTAATGTTAGCATGTTTGATTTTGACCTTCCAGAGAACATGGAGGTGGACTTAAAAGATTTCTTAATGGAAATGAAAAATACTCCAAGCTTTAAGGATTCCATAGGTATGTGAATACTTCTGGTTCAAGAAGGTGGCTGGAAAGTTGCTTTATAATCTATGAAAATTTAAATTAGTTGTGTATTTTAAAAACTTAGGTGTGTGTGTGTGTGTGTGTGTGTGTGCGCACGCGTGCACGCGCACCCATGTGTATAAGCATGTCCCATGGAGGCTTAAGACATTGGATCTCTGGGAGCTAGAATTACAGGTGTTTTTGAGTCTCTCCATGTGTGTGATAGGAGCTACACTGGTGTTTTCTGCAAAGAGCAGTCTGCACTCCTAACCACTGAGCCATTTCTTGAGTTCCTAGATGTGTGTTTTTAATTGATATGTAATTTACAAACATAAACATTGCCCTTTAAAATACATAATTTATTGGTTTTTGATCACAAAATCGTATAAGCTGCTTCAGCCTTCCTGGTACCTAGGACTACAAGTATTCACTACCATGTTCTAAAGAACTTGCATTTTTTTTAAAAAACAGATCTCTTATTTTTTTCAGATTTCACAAAACTACCAACACAAACAGGCTTGTGTCCTTCAAATGCCCTGGTTTGAAATGCCTTTCCCCCCATGTCTGCTATTCAGCTAGCTCTTGACCCAGAACTTATTTTTAGTTCCATTCTGTATCTTACTTACTTCCTGAATCTATTTTTCCTTGCTATGATTTTTTTCCTGTATTTTGCTAATGTCCATTTTCCACAAGAGTCAAAGAAAGGAAACATGAGAGTTAGGAGTTTTGAGTCTTTGGATGCTTGTAAATACTCTCCTTTTACCTTTGTCTTCTCTGGTTATATGTCTGGTATGTTAATTACTATTCTTAATGCTGTGACAAAGCACCCCACAAAATCAGCTTGAGGAAAGAAAGGTTTGTCTTGGATTATAGCAGTTTGAGGGTACAGTCCATCATGATGTAGCCTGGTGGCAGGAGCATGAGGCAGCTGGCCACATGACTCACGGTTAAGAAGCAGAGATGGGTGCATGCTGGTGCTGGCCACATGACTCTCAGTCAAGAAGGTGGTGGTCAGCTCACTCTCTCCTTTTTATTCAATTCAGTACGCAGCCTGTGGGATGGTGCTGCCCACAGTCAGCATGGGGCTTTCCTGATCAATAAAAATCTTTCTGGAAATTCCCTCGGCAGACTTAGCTGGAGATGTCTATCCATGTTGATTGTAACCCTATCAGGCTGGCAGTCAAGACTAACCATCACAAGTGGGAATTAAATGTTACATTTATTAAAATGCTTGTCACTTAATAGTTGTTAGTAAGTGAATATGATTCTATTGCTGCCTTCCTGAGTCTAGCCAGCCACACTTTCTATTTGGTCTATGTTGATAAGTATTTTGAAATCCCTGGTATTGGATCTTTCCACTGATGCAATAAGTCAGATCAGGCTGAATAAAAGTCCAGGTTTAATGATTCTCAGGGGAAAAGAGCAGGAGAGAAATCATTACACTGCTCCCAAGGAGGGGGCCTTAAGTACCCTGTAGGCCCTGTCTTTGAGTAGCTCTAGGGGAAGGGGGAGCTGTCAATGGTGGACTTTCTAAGAAGGGTGGGGCTTGGAATGGGAGAGTGAGACCAGAGCAATCCCCAACATATATTTTTTATAATATGCATGCATGCATTATGTATGTATGTATGTATGTATGTATGTATGTATGTATGTATGTATGTATTCTGAGTTATGGTTGGTGTTAACAAGAGTTGGAGGAAGAAGCTTCCCCGGTCAACAGATGCCTGGCAATTACGTCTCCCAAGAGTAGTGTCTATTAATAATTTAGAACAAAATGACACCATGCTTACATTTTGCTCTTCAGGTTAACCCTTTTGTTGTATCATCTATTTTGTCTTAGCAGCACAACCTTACGTTAAATAATGCATGTAGCTTTGGTTTAAAGGTTGTTTGTAACACTTCAGAGTGGTCTCAAGGGTCACATGTGCAGTGATAAATGTTCTGAGGGGTAGTCTGACTGCCTGACAGATGTGTCAGTCTGAAAGGTATAGTCGTTAAAAGCTTTGCCTTTGGACCTGTATTGCAGAGTCTGAATCTTGTTCTTACTGTGTAATTACCAATGTAATTACAGCAAGTCAATTTAATCTTGCCAGCCTCAGTCTCTTCATCTGAAAAATGGGTATAATAATGATTACTTTTAAGATTATTGTGAGATTAAATAGGTAAGGTAAAGGTGCTCAGAGCAGTGTCTAGCACTAAGGTTTTAATGTTAGCTCCTGTTTTTAATAGCATGTTCAAAGGTTCATGTACATTTCCATTATATTATCCAACCCAAGTCAAGTGGTGGGTAGTGCATAGTGTCTGCTGTTGAAACATTTTTCTTCTACTGTCTTTCTATAGTCACACAGCTACTCCTAACCACTCCCCAAGTTCTCCAGAAGGATCTAATTGATGTCTCTGATTTCAAGAAGTTATTGGTGAATGATGACCTTCATTCAGCTGAAACCGTTCTGACTGAAGTGTTAAAAAATGTTCCTGAACATGGTGTGTACCTGTAATCTACCTACCTTAACTGGGTTGTTCTGTCCAGGTGAAGGAGATGGATGTCTGGGTGGAGCACACAGCATGGAGGGTGATCCTGTACCATCTCTGCAGTGGGATGGCTGGTCACACTACCTTACTGGTGTGCCAACTCAGAACTCCACAGACCCCCCCCCAAAAAAAGCAGGGGATCCAGGGCTCATCCTGTCTCTGTGGGAAGCCAACAGTAGTGCTTAGAGTGTGATCAACATGTGAACTGACTCTCGCGGGCTGGGATCAACCAGGATTCTCCCTGTAGAGCAGAGCAGGTTCCTGGAGCCCTAAGCCAGGTGCTAATACAGGAGAAGCTGAATCACAGATGACAGGGGCTGCTGCACACAGTGGTGGCTCAGAGAAGAAGATAGTTACTAATTTACAAGGCAACTTTATTATTCTAATGACAGGTGTGGTTGGATGTTGTCTTTACTAAGTTCTTCAAATGATTTGGAGAATATTTTTTTTATTTTCTTCCTCAAATATTTAGTAGAATTCACACGTGAGGGCATGCACAGAGAGGTTTTCTTTTAAAGTTATTTTAAGTGTGTGTATACTCTGTGTATGTATTCTATGTGTGTGAGTACTCTGTGTGTGCAAAGTCTCTCTCTCTCTCTCTCTCTCTCTCTCTCTCTCTCTCTCTGTGTGTGTGTGTGTGTGTGTGTGCCTGTTGGGAGTGTGGTGAACATGGAGGCCTTCTTTCCTTCCCTTTTAAAGATTTATTTCTTATGTATAGTGTTCTGCTTGTATATATACTTGCAAGCCAGAAGAGGGCACCAGATCCTATAGATGGTTGTGAGGCATCATGTGGTTTCTGGGAATTGAACTCAAGACCTCTGGAAGATCAGCCAGTGCTCTTAAACTCTGAGCCATCTCTAATCCCCCAAGAAATATATTTCTTAATTTTCAAAGGATTTGATGATTTTGTAGATGTCATATATATGTATGTATGTATGTATGTGTGTGTGTGTGTGTGTGTGTGAGTGACAATTACAAACAAAAACTATGTTATTTAATTTTTTTGTAGGAAAAATTCTTTCTCAATTGAGTTACTAATATGTCATTGAATTAATATTTGGCTAACTTATATTTCATAATGTTACTAATATATTTGGGCTCAAATATATAATTTTACCTTTGTCTTGTTCATTTAGAAAATTAGGGCAGTTATCTCTTCCATTAGCTTGGAAATTCTGCTGTCTTTATAATGAAATAGGTTCCACTGTATTTCTCTATATTACAATAATAATTCAGTTATGTTTTCTGTCTTTCAGACAGTACAAGAATAATATTTTAATTTCATTCTTATTTTATGTACTATTTTTGATAATTAGTGTTTGAATTAGGCAAATAACAATTGTTTTGAATAAGTTTACTCATGTATTTATCCTTTTAATTAATTCTAATTTTCTGTTAGGATGTAGTAATTCCTTTAGATAGTAATTGGCTGAATTTCTGGCTCATAACATTTTTAATTTTATCCTTGTAAGTGAGGATTACACTCCCTTCTACAGCCTTAGAGTTCGAGGTTGTTAGTTATTTTCCTTTCATTATTTTTCCTTATATGTGTATTCATACGTGTAGAGTTGTGCACACGTATCTGGAGCCTGGAGGTCAGCCTCAGGTGTTGCTCCTCAGGGGCCACCCACCTTGTTTTTGAGACTGGGTTGGTCACTTGCCTATAACTTAACTGATTTGTCTAAGTGGTTGGCCAGTGGGCCTTAGGGATCTGTCTGTCTTCACCTCTCCTGCACTGGGATTCCAAATGCACACCAGTGTGAGTGACTTTTTTAATGTGGGCTCTTGGGATTGAACTTGTGCCTTCATGCTTACAAGGCAAGCATTTTCCCTATGGAGTCATCATCCAGCCCTTACATTTTGTTTTGCTTTTTTTTTCATAGTAACTGTGTATGGATTCCAGATTGTCTTTTCTGCTTACTTTTGTTTGTATTAGAGCTTTCTGGATCAGTAATATCTGGCGATCTCATGGAAGAGTGGATAATGCTGAATGGCAAATCTAGACCAAGAGTCCCACCTTCAGTCCATATAGCAAACTACAATACTTTCATAAATAGCATCCCTTCTTTGAAAGATGACTCTTTCTGTCATTTGACACTATTTGGTAGGGACTTCATCTTTAAGTGAGTTCTGTCCCCCAAGCTCCATGTAATACCACTCACTTCCAGAATTTGTCTTCTAAATTTTCCCTTGCTTTACAGAAAAAGGCAAAGTTACCATTCAAGACTTTCTGATCAAGTTTGCGGACACCTTGACAACTCTAAAATCTGAACGTGAGTTTTACTTAGAATGTATTTAACGCTCATGTGTGGAAAGACAAGTTGTGGCTTACATTTAAAACAATCTAGATTTAGATAAAGCACAAGTAAGATATAATATGAAGACAGAACAGCACAAGGTAGATTGAACTTTTCTTTGAATGATGACACAAACATTACTAAGTGTAACCTAGATCTAGAATTGTGGGCAGTTTTACTGAATGCTAGAAAATTGTCCAATGTTGCTTTGTTCTCTGAGACGATTCAGCAGTCACATTTGACTTGTGAAATGATTAGAAAGTTGGAAAATAGTTTTTAAAAGGTTTGGCAAACTTTTATGTTTTTCTTATATTATCAAGTACTGTATACTATGTTTTTCACAAATTTATGAATAACATGTTTTAACTTGGCTGGCAGTGTGGTTCTGTGTAACTGCTTCCATAAACATGTGAACAAGCCACCCATAAGAGCAATGATGTATTGTTTAATGATCTACTTCCTACTCTAGCCTTCAGTGTGCAGGAGCCACTGATATTTTGCTCTGTGATAAACTTCCAGAACTTACCACATCTAACTATAACTTCATACTCTTTGACTATTGTCATATTTTCCCTCCCAATAGACATCACACTCTGCTTCTGTGACAGTGGTTTGGATTCTGTACAAGTGATATTATCCAGAAATTGCCATTCTGGGCCTGATGTTTCACAAAATAAAATGTCCCCTAGGTTCACCCATGATTTTGCAAATGACAGGATTCCCAAATTTTTGAGGCTGAAAAATATTCCGTAGTTATTTTGCTTTTGAAACTGGCTCTTGCCATATGGTTCAGACTTACACTGTGTATCTCAGTCTGTTCTTAAACTCAGTAGTCTTCTTGGTTCAATAGGTATGGTGGTACACACCTGTAATCCCAGTATCACCATATCTGAATTTTCCATTATGTTTAATCACATTTTTATTCATCTGTTTCCTAAGAAATGTACAATATCTGAATAACAAAAATTCTAAAACCTTCCTGAAAAATACAAGATTATATTGTACTTGGAAAAAAGTAGATAATATGTCTTTTCTGGAGAGGACTATCTTTATTATTATTATTATTATTATTATTATTTTCTTATTTTACACATTGATCCTAGTTCCCTCTCCCTTCCTTCCATGCCCCCCCGACTACCCTCCCATCCCATCCCCCCCCTCCCCGTACTCCACAGGGAGGGTGATGCCTCTGGAGAGGACTATCTTAAGGTTAATAACATGTCAGTTATTTTCCCTGAAAAATGTATTTAATACAGTCTCCATAAAGGCATCAACAGCTTTCTTGTAGGACCAGACCAGCTTGATGTAGATGTAAAGTAACACATGAAAACCCCGAAAGGGGAGAGCTGCTAAAAGCCTAACCCAGCAAGCGCTAGTGTCTTTATGTTTTATATCACAAAATCTTTATAATAAAATCATTTGATACCATGGCGTGAAAAGATAAAAAAAAGGTCAAAATGATAGAGAAAATCCAGAAATAGACCTCATTACATTTAACGTTTGTTAAACAGTTATACAGTACTGGTGTCGTTTCAGGTTGCTATACGAAATAAAATTGGCTCTCTTCTAATGAGGTTGGTGTAAAAACTGTGTAGGCAAAGGGGAAAATATATATAGAAAAATATATATTTTCACAGGTAAGAATAAACCACAAACCTTTCAGTATTTAAGCACAAACATGAATCTCAGACACCTCTGTGGTTTGTGTATATGAGAAGTCTTTCTGGTTTTGTTTCAAAATACAGATGTATTATAATGCTTATCGTTCTTTTGCTTCTTTTCTATAAGAATATGGGTTTTAATTTTAAGAAATTATTGTTTTGCTATTCTGCATGTATAATATCTGTGTACTATGTACTTGCCTGGTGCCTGTGGAGGCCAAAAGAAGGTGTCAGGTCCCCTGGGACTGCAGTTACAGACACTTGTGAGCCACAATGTGAGTGCTGAGACTTGAACCCAGGTCCTCTGGAAGAGCTCTTAATGACCTCGCCTTCTTTCCAGGCCTAAGAATACAATATTTATATTTACCTCATAGTCTATAAGCTTACTAAGTTATGGTTTTAGGAGATGTTTCAAATGGCATGGTTGTGTACCATAGATGGTAAATTTTCCTTGTTTAGCAAATGGTTGCCTTTTATCTCTTCCTTGGGTGCTGGCCACAGTCTCTGGCACAGCACTGGGTAAAGTACAGTCTTTTCCATGTTTGTGATCTTAGAGGAAACTAGCCAGTGTTTCAGGGTTAGGTTTATCATTCACGGTAGTGTTCATTTTTTTCCAGGTTGAATAAATTCTCTTCTAATTCTGTGGTTCTCTAACTGAAAGTCATTGTCTCTTCCCAGGAGAGAAAGAGAAATTTTATAACACTGACATTGACAGAAACGATCTTAATGCCATTTCTGACATTAAGCAAAATTTAAGTGCTATAGGAATCCACTTAACAGATGGTGAAATACAGAAGGTGCTGGAGAATACTATTCCTTCCAGTGAGTAGTTATTTCATTTTAAAATAGATTTTTGAGACTTTTGCTATAAACCAACCAAGGTGTCATATTTCTGAAGTGTCATTCATCCTAAGTGTCCTAAGGAGCTACAATGAGCCTGTTTCTTTTTCCTTCTCTTCCTCCTCTTCTCTTTCAGAAAAAAGAATATTTTTCTTTTTAAATTAATGTATTAAAGGACATGTTGTATTTATTTACTTCACGAGGGGATAGAGTTTTCACTCATACTTCCATGTAGCAGTTTAGAATTGAGGGCAGTCAGGGCAGTTAACTCAAGCAGTGCACAAACCTGGAGGCAGGAGTGGATGCAGAGCCCAGGCCTGCTCAGCCTGCTCTAAAACTTTTTGTTTGTTATTTTTGAGACTGTAATTCTTTTGTTGTTTTTGTTTTGCTTGTCCTGGAATTCACTTTTGAGCTCACCTGTCTCTGCCTCCCAAGTGCTGGAACTAAAGGCATGTGTTACCACCAGTGGTGAGACTATATTTTAATCTCAACATTCTCTCTTGCCTTTACTTCCCCTAAACACTCCAGATACCTCTCTCTGCTTCCCTTCAAGTGCATGTCCTCTTTTTTCATAAATTGTCAGTTTGCATATATGCATTTGTATATACATATATTCATAAATATAACTTACTGAGCCCATAAAAACAGGATAAAAATATCCTGACAGCTTTTATTCTGGATCTGCTTATCATATTTTCCAAGATAATTGTTGGATTTTCTCTTTATTTTTGTGTTTTACAATGCTGGCTTCATAACATCAAATAGTCTTTTTTTTTTTAAAGAAAGAAAGAAAAAGAAAATATCTAAACTGTTGTTTCTTTTTCTCTTAAAGGTGATGTGGTACAGCTTAAGGATATCATCAGAGAGCTGGCCAACACTGATATATTTAATGAGTGTCAGAGTAAGTATAAAATTTGAAAAAATGCCAGAGATTGATGTTACCTTCCTCAGTAGCTCTTTACCTCAAATATTGAGGCTGGGCTTCCCATATGAGCCAGAGTTCACTGATTGGGTCTAGTCTACTGAGTCACTTTGCTCTGGGGATTCTTTGTCTTTTTCTGGGATTACTGGTGGATTACCATAATTGCTAGGCATTTATGAGGGTGCTGGGTATCCAAATTCTGGCCTTCACTCTTGTGCAGCAAGCACTTTACCCATATCCCCATCTTGTATGTGAAATTTTTAGCAGAACCCATCTCAGCTTCTTGCCTGCACCTGTCAAGTGCTGGTATGCACCATGCTTATGGAGTGCTGGAGACTGAATGCATGGCAGGCAAGCATCGAAACTGAGTTACATCTGTGGGCCCTAGCACCATTAGGGGCCATTTTGGTGGTTGTTGCTTAGCTTTTTGAGTGAAAGCTTAAGATATGTCTTAATTTATGTTGTTTTCTAATTATGCATCAAAACCTCTAAATTTTATGGCACTCCACATTTAACAAATTAAAAAATAGAACAGATATTCTAGAAAATGAATACTTTTTGTTCAATTCAGGTTGTTATGGCTCTGGAAAGATAGTTCAAGAATTAGGACCTGAATTTTATTGGCAGTGCTCATAAAATAAAGCCTGGCACGTAGTATACAGAAATAATGATAATGCATGCTTGTAATCCCAGCAGTGAGAGGAAGTGGAGATGGGAGGGTCCCTGGCCAGATAAGTGGCCAACCAAAGTCTCATTGAAACCAAAACTTAGCTAACCAAAGTAGTTAGCTAAGTGCCTGTGCACACGGGCACACACAATCAGGTCGTTACATGCTTTTATATTTTGCCATCAAAACAGGAATAGAGGACACATGCAATATTGTCAATAAAATCACTGATGGAAAAGTTGAAGTTAGTGACCTTTTATCAATGGTAAAGAACTTCGAGAACTTTTTACAGGAAGGGCAGCCTGAGGTGTTTCCGACTTCTGAAATGGCTGGTGAGTACTTTAGTTTCTTCTCAGGTCTTGCTTAGAGGGTGCGTAGCCACACAGGCTCTTTTTAAAAGAATGATGATACTATGTTAGGGAGCTCTTTATGGAACTGATGTCCACATATTAGTAAAAGTGGCGAATGTCATTTATTGGAATGCAATAATTAAAATAAAAATATGGGATTTCTATTTCTTCAGCCCTGGATTTTGTGGGTGACACATAGGCTTTTGGGTTCTTTTGATACAGAATATAACATTAGTCTCTTCACTATTGTCATAGTCATAGAATGCTTAGGCTGGAGGTGCTACTAAAGGATAAGACGTGTGTGACTTCTGGAGTCACCAGAAGGCACCCGCTGCCATGGTTCTATTTTTTTTTTTTTTTTTTTTTTTTTTTGCAAGGAGAAATGGTGTTCACAGCTTGCAGTTTGCATCAAGGCTGGCAGCAGCAGCACTCATTTGCTGCTTGGTCTAGCTGACTGCTTGGAGAGGAATGCAGTCAGAAACGTTTGTCTCTCAGTCCTGCAATTCCTTCATTCTTTATAATAACTAAATAAATATGCCTTTTAATATTCACTTAACTGAGAAGCTTTGACCTGAAATTTGTATCCTTGAGTTACATTACATTTATTCAGTGTGGGACCTTTGGCGTATCTGCCCTGCTGTTTTATTTTGCTGTTTTGAGACATAGATTCTAGACTGGCCTCAAATTTATTGTGTTCCATGATGATCTTGAACCTGTGATCCTCCTGCCCATATCTACTGATTGGTTCGATTACAAGTGTACACCATCATGTCTGGTTCACACAGTCCTAGGAATCAAACCAGGGCTTTGTGTAGCTAAGCAAACACTTCACCATTTAAGCTTTATCCCTAGCACATAGAATATCTTTTTCATATATACATAAATGTATTTTTCACACATATATGTATATACTTTTCTTGCTTATATATTCTAATGCTTAATTTAACTATAAAGTACTTGAATTTCAATTGCTATTAAACACTCTTAGAGGATAAAGAATTTACAGAGTGTGACAATTCGCTGAGATCATCTTTATCCTATCATATGATACATTTTGGATAAAAACTATGACCATAAAATTTAGTTAATTCAGTAATTTATCTGAGAGTAATGTTTATAAAAACAATAAAGAGATTTGGGAGTGAAGATCTCCATGAAAATGTAATGAGAAGATGAGAACAACCTGGGTGTTCACTAATCAGGCAAATTATCCCCTCAAAACACAACTCTGCAGCCATTGAATACAAAGCTGCAATAACATAAAAAACAAAATAAAACAAAAAACGAAAGGTAAAATATACAGAAAATATCTTGGCTATAGCTCATGAATAGACTTATTTTTAAGACACAAATGGCAGAAAACTTGGGAGAATGGAAGTGAAAACTTGAGGAAGTGATGGGTAGACCCTGTCACTAGGAGTAAACTTGTGTGTTCTGATGTCTCGACAGCAGAGTGTGTCTGTGGCTGTAAGCAATCTGAGCTGATCTTCCACTGGCCTTTAGGAGCTCCTTTTTTCTGTCTGTTTGGGGGTTGATGTTGGTCCCTCTTATTATTTACTTACATTTCTATCTCAAGGCTTTTACATTGATATTCCATGGGCTGACCCTCCCCACCACATGCCATGAATTGATTCTTTGTGGTTGCTGAAGTCTGTACCTTGCATTGTCTGGTGTCTACATAGTCTCATACTATGTTTTTCTCATGTATTTACTTTTTGTTGTTCATTCTTTTCTACTGTTTTGTATACAATGAAATAAACAAAAGATAAAATTGATGTCAATGTGCAAGAGAAGCATAAACATTTTAAAAAATGAATAAATTTATAAAAATAAAATTTTAGAAACTAAAAATATTAAAATTAATCATCTGCTAATATTAGTATGGTAAACAAAAATAGTATGAACTGTAAAATGGTGTGTATGTATTTATCCTCTATAACCTGTGTATGAGTTTTAAAAGTGGGGGGTTACATGAGTTATATAATAAATGTGGTAGATCTTGAACATTGTTAAAAAGAAGAAAGATGGAATACTTCGAAAGAAGTAAGTGGTAAGAGTGTTGTGTGATAAAACTTGAATCTTACTGGGTAGTGGTGGCACAGGCCTTTAATCCAACACTCAGGAGGCAGAGACAGGAGAATCTCTGAGTTGAGGCCAGTCTGGTTTACAGAGCGAATTCTAGGACATCCAGGACTACATGAACCTTGAATACTCTGTGTGTTGTGCTTGTATGTTGTGTGAGTGTGGAAGATGTGTGCCCATGGATATATATTTGCATTCTCTCAATCTAACCAATGTGTTGTGATTACAAACATATGGAAGTTGAGTGGAATGATATTAACACAATTATTGCCACAATACATTTTAAAAGATCTTATTTTATTTTCTGTGTATGAATATTTGCCTGCATGCATGTAGATGTATCGTGTGCCTGCCTGATACCCTCAGAGGTCAGAAGAGGATCAGCTCCCCTGGAGTGGGAGCTATAGATAGTCATGAGCTGTCCTGTAGGTACTGGGAAGTGAACTCTAGTCCTCCTCAAGAGCAGCCAGTGTTCTTAGCTGCTGAGCGATTTCTCCAGCTCCTGCTGTCATGTTTTAAATTGACTCATTTTAAACTCCATTTTTTTAAACTTTGCAGAAAAAGAAGTGATCTTAGAAGACACAGTTTCTTCTTTCATTGACTCAGCTAGTCTAGCCACACCATTCAGCAGTAAGTATAATAGAGGAATAAAAGTAAAATTTTAAGATCATCTTATGGTATTTTAAACTTTTCTAAAATACAGTTTTTTAATCTTTATTTTTAGTGTTTTCCCAAAGTTTCCTCTGTCTTATTTTAAATATTATCTCTAGACTTCTCATTCCTTAGCATATTTAATTTGTGGTTTTGGGTATGGTTAATTATTTAGAACTTCATACCTAAAATGATTCTATAAGGCAATTACTCGTCTCAGTATATGTATGCTATATTGTAGAAATATCCCCTGCTGTTCCAATGGCACATTTCCGCCCATCTCTATGAATATCTATGTGGCTATTGTCTCATGTATGAAAAAGGCTGTGAAAGAGTACTGGAAAGTCCAGTGCAGGGAAGCTAGCAGACAATGCTTGCGAAGGGGGAAGGGCTCCTGAAGTCTAAGGCAAGCTCTCACTTTTTAGTCTACATCAGGTTTTTCTTTCATAGTTTCCCTTTCCTCAGTCCCTTGGCTTCTGTTTTTGCTTCTGGACCTCCTTCTCTGAGCTACTGCCTGGCCGTTGGCAAGCTCGAATGCTGGTGTTATGTGGGGGGTAGAGCAGCAACACCCCTGAGAGCGAACAGTTAACGGCCAAAATGAGCTTCCTCAGAAATTGTGCAGAAAATGAGCTTTAACCTAATAATACTCTGATTTTGTTTATTGTTTAATTGATTTCTAAAGACAAGACCCACGGTTGTGTTTTAAGAGCTTTTTGACTCAGAATTCCTTTAAAGATATACCGGTTTCCTTTTTGTAGGCTGTGACTACCAAGAATTAAAAAGGACTTGATGTCAGTGTTAACATCTGTTCTCATTTCCTCCTGTATTTGCAGGTTTATTGAAAGATATTACATCTTTTGATAGTATCATAAATAAAAAGATGCCTGCAAATGAACTGATCTCCCATCTCAACAGTTCTGGAATTCCAATAAGCTCCAATACAATGCAGGAGATCCTAAGAAAGGCCTCCATTGATGGTGAATTCTTCTTTTCTCATTTCTTCTTTGAAACTATTTAGTGTCTTTTTAACATAGAGATATAGTTTACATGCTCTATAACCTACCCCAAGATGATGAAGAAGGGTACATGTGTAATGAGCCTTTCTCTGTCCTGCCAGCCAGCTCCCAAATAATGACATGGAGACTTATTACTAATTATGAAGTCCCAGCCTTAGCTTAGGCTTGTCCCACCAGCTCTTATAACTTAAATGAACTCATTTATATTAATCTATGTTCTATCATGTGGTATTACCTCTGTCCCCTCGAGCACCTCCTGTTTCCCTTCTGTATCCCCAGGTTTCTTTTTTTTCTTCTTAGAATCCTCTCTGTCTCCAGAAGTCCTGCCTAATCTCTTTCTTCCTAGCTATTGGCCATTCAGCTCTTTATCACACCAACCACAGCACAAATACCTCACATTTTCCCGTTTTTGTAGAGAAAGGAAAGCATTTAACTCTAACGTAGTAGGACTATATGCAATAAAGAACAATTACCAGGGTTACTGCTGGACAAGGTCCTGCAGAGCTGAGGAGCCAAGATGTGTGACTTCACCTTATAAACTTTACGTTTTTATGCAAGCTTCTTTTGAATTTGCTAACAAGGAAAACTAAAATTATAATTATCTAGTCTTCAACCCCATTAAAGACATGAGAAGGATATAATAGTACCTGAGAAAACAGGAAGTATATGGCAAACAACTTTCAAAACTATAGAAACAACAGAGATGTCTGGTTGCCTAGGCAGTCACCAAGAGGTTTCTATGTAATGTTGGGGCATACATCTTTGGTCTACAGGCCTAGAATATCTGTTAGACTTTTTTGTGAAGCAGGAAATTTGAAGGAATGGCCTACCTTGTCTTAGCAAAGTGTGGAAGTTGCCTTCTTTTATGTCCTGCTTGTCCATTTTGGAAAGCATACTGTCAACAGTGGAGGCAAGGGCAGTTTCTTTTCCCAGTGGCTAACTTTGCCATGAATGAAAGCAAACTTTAAATGGTGGATGTTTGATGCCCAACACCATCTATGAAGTAAATTGGTGCTACCAGGAGCAGATGCATCTCACTGTCACGAAAACTTACATTATTAAAACATTTTAAATGACATATTCTGTAAATCTTTGAAGTTTTTGAAGACCATCTATCTATTTAAAATATATTTTTGTTTGACCTTGAAAACATACCTAGCATTATAAGTTTGATTGTTATAGATGACTAACTACTACTCTGTCTTTCTTTATTATCCTAAATAGCTTTCAAGGACTAAAACTTTACATTTTTAAATGAGTTGCTTAGGTACAATACCTTAAACAAGAATAGAAGCATATATACAGTATAACAAAAATAACCTTAAATTTGTATCAATATACAAAAATCCATACCTGTTATGAGTAGTTTTCCTGCCAGCCTGGTCCCACAGCCACGTCAGCCCCAAATACACACAGAGGCACTTTATTAGATATAAAGCTGTTGGCCTATTATTAGTTTTTCTTATTGACTAGCTTTGCCTTAAATATTAAGCCATTTCTATTAATCTAAGTATTTCCACGTGGTCTTGGCTTACTGGAGAGAGGGTCTGGACTGCTACTCTCTCAAGTCTCTACATCTTGAATCTCTACTACATCTTCCAGAATCCTCCTTGTCTCTTAGTCCTGCCTATCTTGCCTTCCTATTTGCCAACAGTGCTTTATTTATTAACCAATAAGAAAAACATATTTACAGAATGACATCTTCCATCATCTCATCTTTTCTGTCTAAATAAAAAGAAGGGTTTTAACCTTAACATAGCAAAATATATAACAAAACAGTTATCAAATAAGAACTATAGTTAACAATATTTAGTCCATTAACATTTAACAGGATTTAAAGAAATTATTTCATTATCTATCTTATCTTTGTGAGCCTAATGTCCTATATGTAACTTATCTTTAATCCTAACTAAGGAAAACTATAACCATAACTATCTGTCTTCAACTCCATCAAAGACCACAGAAGATAGTATATAAACTCTAGAAATGACAGAGATATCTTACTACCTGGTTAGTCACCTCAAGTTCTTCTGTAATGTTCCATCTTTAGCCTATAGGACATAGTGTGTCGGGCAGACTCTTTAGCAAAGCAGGAAACTTTAAACTGTCTACCTGTTTTGGCAGCTTGTCAGTTACTTTTCTCTGTGCCCTGCAGACTGTCTGGCAGACTCTTCCATGAAGCAGGAACCCTGTAGCAATGTCCATCTTGAATTAGCAATCACTTTTTTTGTGGGTTCTGCATGTCTAGTTTATACAGCATAAAGTCAAATAGTCCAGACAAGAGCAGTATCTTGTCCAAATGGCTAGTCTTGCCATATTGGAAGTACACTCCATGACCAATTTTCTTTGATGTCCATCTTCCTTTCTGATGCAGGTGGTGTTGCCAGGAGCAGTTGTGCCTCACTGTTAAGAAAAACCCTAAACCATTTTAAATTCCATATTCTGTAGGTCTTTGAAAGGTTTGAAGAACGCCTGTCCATCTCAAATATATCTTTGTAAATATAGAAATCTTAAATAACATAGCTATAAGTTTTGACTATTATAGGTAACTATAATCTGTACTTCAATTATGCATTACATTTTAAAATGAGCCATATAAACACAATACCTAAACGAGAGGAGAAATATACTTATCACAAAATTGACCTTAATTTTGTATCAATAAATGAAAATCTATTTCAAAACAAACTATTCATTTTTATACCATAATCCTCTTTTTACCTTTAAAAAGAGATTGGTTGTGATTATTAACCACGTATAACCAACCCCATAAAAATGAAACCAAACATTTTTAAACAATATTTGGAAATTTGGGTATCATTTTTTCCAAACTGCTTTCTACTGGTAGGGGATCCTAAGAAGACACAGACATCCTGGCTGTAATGGTCTGCAAGGCTGCCTTGTTCCAGCTGTTTTAAATGTTGGATCATCTGGGACATGCTTTAGGGGGTCTTGCTTGATCAAACCATGTTAGTCAGAGAGAGGGTCTGGACTTTCTCCTCAAATTCCTACATATTGAGTCTCTACTATATCTCCCTTAACATACTAATGTGAAATATTTGAGATTAATAGTTGCTCTTTAAAGTAGATCCAACAATCTACCCTTTTATCCTATCATTCCCATATGCCTTTTTTTCTTTTCAGAAAGAGATCCTTGAATCTCACCTCCCTTGCTTAGTTTCTTCCCTTGCCATGACCAGTAATAATTTGCAACCAATCCCCCTAAATGATGACAAATATCCATAACCTACCAAACAACCAAAGACTACCCACCTCACCCCTTGGGAATGTGGACATAATATTCTTAAAATTCCTACTGTCTGGGGGCAACATTATTTGTAGAGGACCTTGAGAAAATTAAGATAATGTCAAGTCATTAGAGAGCTAGCTGTATTATTTTTTGTTTAATCTCTGTGTGATGGGAAAGTGTATCTGATACACTGGATAGTCTGTGAGGCTGGACCTTCTCACCTAGCAGCAGAATTTTGAGGAAACTGCAACAGAGGCATCTGAGACTGGATCACCTAGTCTATTTGTCTTCATTGTTTTTTTATTTTTTCTGAAACCTCACAAACTTGTAAAGGTAACACGCATATCTGCATGAACACAAGTATGGAATGCACAGTATCTACAAGTCAGTTAAAGATGACTTTTGTTTTATGTTGGAGCAAGTAAAAGGCATCTGTCAACTTTATAAATAGTCTGTTTGGACTGCATAACCAAACTGTCATAAGGTCTCTATAGCCAACAAGATTTATTATGTCTTATCCAGTCTCAGAGCTGTTCCCATAGCAGAGGGATCAGCTTATATGTCACCTGTCCTGTAGTCTCTATTGTTTTTTCATGTCTCCCAAATCAAATGTTGTCTTTATTAACTTTGAAGATAATGATAACTTTTTGTTTTCTGTGGACACAAAGGCACAGCCTCTCCCCTAACAACATATTTTTTAACTTCCATTTTGAAGTTAAGACATTCTTGAAATATATAGGTTGGTTTAGTTTAGCAGTTTTCATAATCCAATGTCTCTCAGTAGCTATTGTTTTTTGTACATTATCATTTAGAGCATTCAAAGTCAAGAAAACATTCAGACACCCTGTGTATTTCACATGGCATTTTAAAAATTGCTTTGCTCTTTAAAGACTGTATTATTTTAAAATATATTTATTTTTATTTATTATTCTATGATTGTCTATATTTGTTTTTTTCCTGAGTCTAAGCATATTTTTAAGCATACTATATATTTTCAGAGGTTTTTGTTTGCTTGGTTGATTTTTTTTGGGAGGGGGCTTGGGCCTGGCTTTTCTAAGCACCCACAGTGTTTTCTGACCACATGACTTAAACTGCTAGGTGATGGCTAGGCTCTTACCACTTGACTCTGGAGGCTGGCTCTGCCTCCCTCAGTTCTCTGAGAGTCTAGCCTCATGCTGGTGGGTAAGGGTGGGAGCTGCTATTTAATGGCACAGCTCTGGGAAGTTGTTGAGCTTAATTTCCCAAGTCCCTATGAGCAGCAGCTGACTGTTGTGAGTGTTGTGGTGCTGGGTGGTATGACTTCTCTGTCTGTGTGGTCCTGCCATGCATTATAGCACTAAATATAATGAATCTTTTTCTGTCCCACCAACCAGCTCCCAAATAATGACACAGAGGCTTATTAATTATGAAAGCTTGGCTTTGGCTTAGGTTTGTCCCACCAGCTCTTAAAACTTAAATTAACCCATTTATATGAATCTACATTCTATCATGTGGCATCACGACTCTTCCCTCTTGCACCTTCTGTTTCCTCTCCATGTCTACTGGCTTCTCTGCCTTTCTTCTTCCCAGAGTTCTCTCTGTCTCTAGAAGTCCCACCTAAGCTTTACAAATATCGCACAACATACAAACATGCACAACATGTGCATGTGTGTATGTGTGTGTGCAGGTGCACATGTGTTTGGAGTTTGCATGTGAATGGCTCCATGTGAGGAGGCCCCAAGGTCAACCTTCAATTGTCATTTTCAGGAGCCA